TCTAATTTGGTTTACATGATGTTTGTGTATAAACTTCGGTCCCTGGACCATGTAAATCATGTTACCAATTTGTCTGTCTATTGTTCCTATCTCCCAGTGAGCTTTATTATACACGAAAAAAAAAACTTCTCCCCAATCTTAAAGTGCTTTTTAAGCACTTTATTCCTAGTTTCCTTTTTTGTTTCACTAAGAAGGAATTTGTTTTGTCAAATACCGATTTTATTTTCCTGGCAAACATGACCTCCGCTGGCGTCTTGGCAGATGGAGCACTGCTATTAGGGGTTACATGATAGACGTGCAAAAACTGCTGTATAGCCATATCAGTGGGAGTACCTTTCGCCTTTCTCAGTGCTCTCTTGAAAGTGTCCATTATTTCTTGGGTGATATGGCACCGTGGTAATATGTTCAACCAGGAATGACTAACAAAAATCCTTAAATTCACAAGACATGAACTGTGTGGCATTATAATACAGTCAACAACTTCAAGAAAATAGCTTGTGCAAAAACATAAACGTAATTGCTCATCAGACTTTTCATTCATGAAGTTCCCGGATGGCTAACATAGAATTCCTTTAATATTCTTTTCTGTAGTGTAGATGGGATTACTACTCTCTCTCCGTACATTAGTATGTCGTTACAGAGTGAGTAAACTTCCGAGATATTCTGGTCTTTACTTTTTAGTTTGTCCTTTACTTCCTTTATGAACTCATCATCGGACGCTTTGTCTATTATCTCGTCAATTGTTATAGGAAGCTCCCTGACAGTATTGCACAAGTCGACCTCTGTTCTTATGGCAGCAATGACTGTGTCTTCCAGGTGTTCAGCATATTTAGGTATCAATCTAGACAACCCGTCTGCATGACAGATTTTAGTGGATGAGAGAAACTCCATTTTGTAGTTATAATTGAGGTGAATGGTTCCCCATCTTTACAGTCTATTAGCAGTTTGTGTTAGCAGAACCCTTTTTTGATCCAAAGACAATAAAGAGTGGACAATGGTCTGTTTGCAACAAAATGTACTTTCCATGAATAAAGCAATGAAATTTAGTCACCGGAAAAATGATTCCTAAGGGTTCCTTTTTTATTTGCGAGTGAACCCTTTCAGCTGGTAATAGTGTCCTAGATGCATGGGCGATTGGCTTTACAGATCCATCCTTTAACTTGTGTAAAATGCACGCCCTGATGCCATAGTACCTACCATTGCTGGCTACAATGATGTCAAGGTTTGGACCCTAATGAGTTAGGAACATTTGTGATATAAGGACCTCTTTTATTTTCTCAAATGTTTCCTGGCATTTGGTTTTCCATTCCCACTCTTTATCTTTTCTCAATAATTCATTACGTGGAGCTCTCAAACTGTGCATTCTTGGGACAAAAACTTTGTAATAATTTTGCAAAACCTAAAAAACTTTGAATAGCCGATACATTTTCTGGTGCTGGCATAATCATTATTGCCGTTGCCCTGTCTGGATCAGGACGTCTTCCGTCTTTGTTAATTATTTGCCCCAAGTACCTAATCCTCTCTAAGAAAAACTCACAATTCTGGTCTTTTAATTTGAATCCGTAATCCTGGATTCTCATGAACACCTGTCAGATGTGCGATTTGTGTTCCTCGATGCTTTCGCTTTTCATTAGGACATCATCGAGGTAGGCCACCACAAAATCCAGACCATTTAACATCATGTTCATGACCTTTTGAAAAATGGAGGGGGCGACCTTAACCCCGAACGGAAATCTTAAAAAATTGTATAAACCCTTGTGGGTGTTTATGCAAAGGATCTTGAGCATTCCTCATCCACGAGTATTTGTAGATATGCGTTGCTTAAGTCAATCTTAGAAAAATATTTTTCTCCACTGAGCTTAGCGAATATCTCCTCTAAACTTGGAAGGAGATAATGGTGATCCTTTAGGGCGCTGTTCAGCCCTGTAGAGAAGTCAGCACATACATGAATTCCTTGCTCTTTTTTTTTTTTTTAATATAAACTGTGGGGGAGATGCCTATTCACTATATTCAACCTTTGCCAGAACTCTCTTTTCCTCAAGTCATTTCAACTCCTCGTTAATTTAACAAGGTAAATGGAACGTTACCCTTTTTTTTTTTAAAAACTGGGTTACATCTGGCTTTAACTAAAACTTAACAGAAATTTTTGTGCATTTTCCTAGTCCTCCACTGAAAACTTCGGAAAAAATTTTTTCAAGTTCAATTTTTCTGCTTTGTCAGTCAAATCTTTGACTTTTTGACATAATGAGTTAATAGGCATATCCCAAAGTTGAAACTGTTCTCACCAATCAGTCCTGAACAAATTACCCGTATTCTTCATAATATATGCCTTTCATATTAAAGTTTTACCTTTGAATGACACATTCGTTATAAGTTCGTCCATAAACCAGAAACAGCAAAGATGAAAGTGGACAACCTTGACGAATGAATCAAGACAATATGAAAGGTTCCGATCTTATTCCATTCACTTCCAACAGGGTACTGGGAGATGCACACAGAAGTCGGATCCTGGTGCGAAAGTATAGCCTGAAACTGGCAGTCAAAAGAACAGCCTCCAAAAATCGATGGTCAACCCTATTGTATGCTTTGGACTGATCTAAATTGATCAGCGCAGCTTCTCTGTCAACTTGATTGATGATCAAGCATACTAAATGCAGGTTTTCCTGAATAGTTCTTCCCTTTAGGGTACAAGTCTGCTCAGAGTCAATCAGACTAGAGAGGACAACCTGCAAATGGTCAGCTAAGATCTTGGCCAAAATCTTCAACTCTGACTGTCTGAAGTACAGTTTGTAAGACCATCTAATCCCAGACATTTGTCCCAGTTTCAGTGCTTCCCAGATCTTAAACTCTGTGATTGAAACCTTGCACCCAGCCACTTCAACTGCCTCAAGGCTGGGAAAGTCAATAAATAGGCATCAAACTGAGCAGGGTTTAGACTGGGCTCCTTGATAAAAAAAATCTGAATGTAATCTTGAAAAGCCTCATATATGCCTACATTTGTAGTCATGGTCCACTTGTCTGGCACTGTGAAACTCGGAATATGTTCATTGGTTTGCATTTCGAGCTTCGTCTGCATGCAATTCAGTGGCCATGTTCATCACCTCAGAAGACATTCTTTTAAACTAGCCTTAACTACCAGATATTGATCCTTCTTGATAATAAAGAAAGTCAGCTCTGCCCTAGCTAAAGCTACGTCCCCACTATCACGGGATTTTATTGCACGATCAACCTTGGCTTCTAATGTTGTTTGTGCTGTTAACATAGGTTGAGTCAACAACTAAAATCAGCAATAACCTAATTTTGGATTTGAAATTATCCCACTACATATTCCCAACCACAGTCCCAGTCAATTCCTGCTATAGTATTAGTAACAGATGGTCCTGGAAATCTTGCTCACCAAATAATGATGTGATCAATTTCCAGTATCCAGCCAACCTAACCTTAGACTTATCTAAGTTTACATGAACCCGGACAGGTCTATGATCTGTGTAAAATATCAAATACAAACTTGGACAACCTAAGAGCCCTACATCAACTCTTTTTACTAGGACATGGTTGATGCAGCTCGAATGCACCACCAAAGCCGAGCTGTCCCTGTTAGTCCAAGTCCACACCACCTCCCGGGATGTTCATTTTAATAGTTATTGACAAAACCAAATTTGTCGATAAAGTCCCGAAACACTTTCACATCCGGGTTGTTAGTACCCAATCTAACCCCTATGCAATCTATGTTGGGGTCAAGGACGGTATTCCAATCACCCGCTAAAACTACCCAACAAGATGTCATCAAAAATGGCTCAATCAGCTGAAATAAATCAGGACGCTTTGCATGGTTATAGGGCACATTAACCCCAATGAGATGAAGAGCCTTATCCTTTATGGTAACATCCAGCATGCAAAGCTTTCCCGCCGGATCCACGAAGACAAGAGCACATGCCACTTTCTCAGACTTGCTCACTAGCCAGGAAACACCTCTTGAGGATCCATCAAACATGCTGAATAGAAAACGAACCCCTTAGAGAATGTCTTCATGATCGTGAGTTGAAAACCGAATCTGCTGCACAAAACACATAATCTGTAATTTCTGGCCCTTTAAGCCTGGGCAAAAGAAATACAACAGATGTTATCCCCAAATTATATCACAGTCTAGATTGTCTTTTTTTCCTTGTCTTCTAGAGATGAGCTTGAGTCTTTCGAATGGCGGAGGCATTTGTTGTTGTTTTTGTTGGGGAAGTACTGGGGTAGGAACTGGGGTTTGAGAAGTATTTGGGGGGAATGTACTGGAATCTCTACTGAGTGGGGAAAATTTGCTGGGGATGAATAAGTTGAAGATATTCTCTTTGATTTCTTATCAGGGGAGAGCGGGGTACAGGTCAGGGTGGGGACATGCTGCCTTTTTGATTGGTAACTGTTTTAATTGTTGTTTCAATTTTTCTATAAATTGTTTTATTTTTCATTTTTTTTTTTTTTTTTAATCCTGGGTCATATTACTTCTACATTTCTTTTAAAGAGGCTGGGGCATCACTCTTAATGGTAGTAGAAGGAGTAGGTGGACTGTTAGTGTCTTTCAAATCAGTGTGGCAGAAATACCTCCCAGATCAGATAATCATAAGATATTAGTAGAAATGGTGTAGCTAATTAATGTCTTACCATTATGTGGGAGGTAGATGCTGCAGATATTTCTGCCATACCCTGTATTATTTCAAGTAAATACATTGAAACAGTCAAATGGAAAGCTTTTCTCATTTAAACTTATTCATACTCATTATCTAACGATTATGATTTCTTATCATCTGGAAAAAATTCAGTCAAGAAAAATAGGGTTCTCCAAAATTGACTGATAAAACTTAATTAATAGGAAGAAAAAAAAAAAATGAAAATTACTGAAAAAAGTGTATTTTCATGAAAATATTGACTGAAAATTAAGAATACTTACTTCAGTTTTGTCACAAGCAACAAGACGGAATTTCCTCAGCATTTGTACAGCAGCCATCTTAAATTCAAGTTGAGCCAATCGCATTCCAGCACAAATTCGTGGCCCACCACCAAAAGGAATATAAGTGAAGGATTTTTTGTTTGGCTTTGTTTTCCTCACTGAAGCTGTAATGACAAAAATTTTCATCATATTTATGAAAGCATTTGATGATTTCTTTATTCAAGGAAATGTTTTGACTCTCTTGAAAAAAATGGTTGCTCTTAAACTTGTTGCATGTCTTCATTTTTCCTCTTGTGTCTCTCATTTCTTTTTTTTTATACTTTTCATAAAGATAAAAAAAAAACAGAACCCTGATTTCAAGTGGGAATTCATCCAAGTGGTTGATTATGATTATTTTACCTGAAGAAAACCTGGAAGTGAATGGTTAGAGCCACCAATTCGAAGACATATTTTGTTATTTGACACTCTTCTGTTGATGAACTGTTTACTCTGGCATCCAGTAAATGTAGCAGATATGACAAACTAAATGTCACAAAGAATCATGAGAATTTTTTCAGTGAAAAATTTGTTTAAATTTGAATTGCCTTGACCAAGCCATGATGAAATGATTGTTTTGAACAGATATCAAATTTAACTAAAGTATTAAAGTCATTGTTTCATCTTTCGAATTAACCAACTGTGAACAGCTACAAAAAACATTTAAGATAAGTATACTATTCACAAAATATAATGAATTAATGGTTGTTGAAATTGGATTTGATTTATTTAGCATGAAAAAAAATTTTTATATATTTACAAAAATCTAACTTTTAAGGCCCTTAATTAATTGAATGATAGAAGAATGAAAAATAAGACATTGAGGAGGACTTAATTTCATTGACAAGTTCCTCTACATAGATTGTAATCCCTCCCCACCTCCAAGGCAGTAAAAACTGCTTCAAAATTGCAATGTATGAGAAGGAAGATGAGAACTCTAGGTGACAAAAAGCATACAGACACAAGCCAAGGCATTATTAACCATGACTAGATAACCTGAATGTGAAGGGGTTTGATATTTTTTAAAGATTTCATGCATTCAAAGACTCAAGGAAACATTACTGATGACATGTCAAGGTGCATCACAAGGTGATCATTTGGTAGATGAAGAATGGCTTTGGTTCTCTTTTATGTCTCTCTCTATCTCTCTCTCTCTCTCTATATATATATATATATATATATATTAATAATTAATTATCATTATTATTATTATTACAACAAAACAGTCTGTCTGTGTATGACAATATAAGCTGCTGAAAAATTATTTCAGTTGAGCTCTCTGGGGAGAAAGTGTGAATTTTTAAACAGTAACTATTACTGCTATTAATGCAATACTCTTCAATAAAATGAATTGAGTTCCCTCAGTCACTGGTGTGTTTATCTAAATATAAATATGCTTAAATTCACCTTCATCTCTGTCATGCACAAAAAGCTTAGTGGTAGATTCTCTGACTGATGCCAATTCAGTTGGGTTTCAATCCTAGCAAGAGGCAACTAGACATCTAGCCACACTGATGAGCCATGAAGCAGCAAAACTGTCTGTCTGTGGCTGACTATATATATATATATATATATATATATATATATGTGTGTGTGTGTGTGTGTGTGTGTGTGTGTGTGTGTGAAAAAGTGGAAAAAACTTTACTTTACTTTTTAATCATTTCACCCCAAGCAAGGTGAGAATGCCACTGGTATGCAGGGGTTATAGAGATTGAAGGAGAGAGAAAAGACTGGATACAGAGTGGACCGAGGAAAGGATAAAAGCTGAAGAGGGTTCAAGAAGATAGAAGATGGTCATTGACATTGCATTTAAATTTTTGAAGATTGTAGTCATCAGGGAAGCAAGGAAATGGAAGGGAGTTCCACAGGCAGGAAGTGCGAGAAAAGAAACTGTTGGCATAGAAGTGGCAGTTACATTTACTTAATTCAACACTAAGTTAAAATGGTGGGACCTAGATGCCAATCTAGTAGCATGCTTAAACCCATGTAGTCTGGGGCACCAGGGAAAAAAAGCTCATCAGATCAGTTGCCATGAAAATATTTGTAGAAAAGACAGAGGGAAGCCACATCACATTGGTGAGAAAGTGACTGAAGTCAAGATGCCAAGTCAGGATTGATTACATTGTAGATCCTTCTTAGGATTTTTTCAAGAACCTCGATATGAGTTGCAGGAGCAAAAGACAAGATATGCAACAGTGTTCAATGCACGGACAAATGGTAGATTTTTAAATGTGCAAGATGAACTCTGATGAGAAAAACCTTCTGGCATGACACAGTGACACAACTCTCCTTGCAGTAGACACAGCTATTGATTTGATGTAGGCATTCCACTTCAAGTCAATTGAGAACATGAGGCCAAGAAGGTACAGTGTGTTGCTCTCCATGTGTCTAGCATCAGCCATGGTGATAGTGGGCTAGAAAGTTTCCCTATGGTGGTTAAATGAAAGCAGTTTCATTTTGGAGGCATGAAAATTCATGAGCCATTACCTGTTCCAGTTAATCATTGATTGGAAGTCTTTTTCAAGAGTTGATTTTTGTCTACTCTGACGGATTTGCTATTGAGACAGGAGTAAATGGTTGTTATCAGCATAAATGCCTACTTGGGAACTGATGATATCAGGGAGATCATTGATGAAGATCAGAAACAGCATAGGACCCAGGATAAAGCTTTAGGGACACCTGCATTTGTGTGAAAGGATTTGGAAGTGAGCCTATTCAATACAACCGTCATTTCATGATTTGATAGAAATGATTGGATTAAATCAAACACACATCCAGTCATACCATAGCCCTGGAACTTACGTAGAAGATCAGCATGCCAAACCCTGTCAAATGCCTCAAGATATTTAGACCAACAGCTCAAGGTTTGCCATTATTATCAAGAGTTTGACATACATATTCAGTGATGGCCGTTAGCACATCAGTGGTAGATCTGCAAAGTGGAAGCTATATTGATTACCAGAGAGTAGGTCGTGAGAGGTAAGATGCTTAACCACATCAGCATTAAAGCCTTGAATAATAGGGCATTAGTTAGAGGGGTCAGAAGGTTCACCAGAAGGTTCTTAAAAACATGAACTACAGAGGAGGAATTCTAACAAGCAGGAAGCAGTGAGGCAATAGTTGTAAAATTTGGAAAGAACTGGAGCCAGCTCAGGAGCACATTTCTTTAGGACGACAGCGTGGGTCCTGTCACCTCTGCTTGCCTTATGGGAGTCTAATTTAAAAATAATGTCAGAAACCTGTGACAAGGTTATGTACACATCACTCAGTAGAGCCTCTGTTCTAGAAGGGAAGCCAGGTGTGGGTACTCCAAATGAGTCAAATGTTAAGTTGGTAGAGAATTTCTGAGCAAAGCATTCAAAAATCTGCTGTGGATATCAGGACTTCAAATTGATTAAATAGCAGAAGGATAGAGAATTTACTTTTGTTCCGCACACCACAACAGAGCTGCCAATAATCTCTAAAATTGTGTGTCTACATAGTCACACGAATATATATATATATATATGTGACGTCGTCCCCCGGTCGCAGCGCCAACTGTGACGTTCTATCCTGCTCTACCACGGCACCAGTTGTGACGTCCTCAAACAGCACCACTTGTGACGTCTTCGCCGCGGCGCCAGCTGTTCGCTCCTCGCTGCTCCGTCCGGGTGTCGCTGCTCCAAACGTGACGTCTGCCTGTCGCGTCAGTTGTGTTGTCTCGTCCTGTGACGACCAACTGGCTTGGTATCGGTCGCGGCACCCAAATGTGACATTCTAACCTTTTGGTGATTCAGGTGGGAATCTGGTTAGATTTGATATCAGCCTCGTCGCTTCCAACGCCTGGTTACCAAGGTAACTGCATTGATCTCCAGTCTGCCTACCCACGTTGTGAATTGATCTTAGACAGACGAGATCAAACAGTGGTTGGGGCCATAATGCAAATTGAGTTCAACGGGGGTGATAACACACAAATATGCATAAAAAAAAATAAAATGAAAACTCAAAAAGTTCAAAGTATCAAAGAAAAAGGTAACAAACTTTATGTCTAGTTGTTCGATACATAGGACTGCATCTATCTCCCGACCCGTTCTGTGGATTGTGACACGTCGTTTTCGCTAGGCAAGTTTTAACGCTTCAAGTTGTTTGCTCTCTAAGAAATTTGTGTTTCAGTGTGTCTTTGGACGAAAGTCGAAAAAAAAACATTTCGGTGGTCTGGTCCTAAGTCGCTCTTCAAAATAATTGTTCTTGGTTGAAGAGGAGTCCGGAATTTTGTGTGAATCTTGGTCAGCTATCTTGAGGCGGCTTCAACTCTGGAAACTGGAGCTCGAACTCTGGGAACTCAACTCTGGAAACTCGAGCCCGAACTTTCTGGATACTCATCTCTGCCGCCAGGGCCCAAAACTTTCTGGACACTCATCTCTGCCGCCAGGGCCCGAACTGATTTCTGCCTGTTGGGGCCTGGCTTTTATTGACGCCGACCAAACCCGGGGTGGGTCTGTTGGCGTCCGGGGGGTTCCTCGATAATTCTAAATACATATCCACCTCTTTTATTTCTGGTTAGGGATTTTCCACTCTTTTCCATTTTTGGTAACTTTTTTTTTTACTCCCACTTTCTCACCATACTTCTGAGGGGTGTGAACTGCCCTCCCCACTTCTTCGTAGCAGCTTCTCATACTTCGTGCGTCACGTGATCACTCTCGGCCAATGAGATCTTGGTCGGGTATCTTTCCTCCCCCTTCGTGCGTCACGTGATCACCACTTGACCAATGATGTCGGGCGTGAACAATCCGCGGCTTTGTTTCGAAAAAAAAAATACCTTGCTTAACTAAAGGAAAAATTAATTATCTCTTCTCTTTCCTTTTTCTTCCTTTCAAATCGCCGTTATCACTTCTCTAGCCACGAACGGATAATATGACAACTCTTAGTTCAACACGTGGCGTTTGTCAGGTAGTTTATCGCTAATTCATCAAGATGGTTGGTTTTCCCGACATGGCCTCAGAAAAGAATTATCCCCAAAAATTTCAGTCAGTCTGTCGTCTCCAAGGAAGAAAGAAAAACATTTCTGGTTCCCATTTATTTTCCTTCGGTACATGTGCCTGATAACATAATTTTATTATCGCAGGGCAAAGTTGTTTTGTTGAAAGGAATTCGGTCAGCGCTCTGCTTGTGTGGGATTTAATTTTTCATATCTGTCCAAAGTCCTTTTTAGTGGCCTGTTTCTCGTTACTTATCGAAATAGCATTTTCACTTGAATTTTTCCTGGGCCAGTGGTCTAACCATTCATTTACGTACCTAGATAACATAGCCGTTATCAAAACACATCTGGTTCCTTCTTTCTTTTCCTTTTCTTTTTTTTTTTACTCAGAAATTCCCTGTCATTGTAATGACACACTTTTTCACTTGTTACTTATCAATATTTTCATTGTCTCTTAGGCCATGTGTGTGGCTGCTTTCTCACCTATGATCTGTCTCGCATTTCTTTCTGCCTTCTTTTCTTTCTCTTTCTTTCTCTGCCTCGTAAATGGTGCCACATATATATATATATATATATATATATATTCGTGTGTGTGTGTGTGCGAAGTGTGTGTATATAAATATATATATATATATGTGTAATATATTATATATATTATTTATATATTATATGCACAGTATTTATTAGAAAGTACTCAATATCAGAGATAGAGCTAACATATATATACACACACACACATATATATATACATATATATATACACACATATATATATACATACACACACACACATATATATATATATATACACATATATATACTCATATATATATACACACACACACACATATATATAGTCAACACTCCATGTCGAATTCAACTTTGAGGGTCAAGCAGATCAGTTTCCAGGAAACCGACAGCCCAACAACGGCACATGAGATTTGATTATAGTGGTGAAGGCTTCGTGCAGGACCATCCACACTTTTTGAAGGGAGGAATACAGAGACCTGGTGCACCGAGTGCCACAAGTTTCCCAAACGACCCTCCGCAGGTTTTGAATTCAGAGTTGACTTTCTCCTAGACCAGTTGCCATCCAAGGCTATAGAACCCAGTCTGTCCTGCTATTTTACCCATAGCTGGAGGGAGAAGAAGAGGATTCACACCTTTCCCAAGAGTATTAGCACATAAGTGAATGTAATGGATTCGACTAGAATTCGAACTTTGCTCTGCGATTCCTCAATCCAAGCCGCTATCCATTACTCCACCGTGCATCCTATACACACATACATGAGCCAATACAAGTATTAAGATAATCTTAAAAATTAGAACAAAGAAGGCATGGAAGAAAAATTAAAATAAAATGAAATAAAATTTGGGAATAGGATGGCATAGGAAAGTGATAAAAAAACAAAAACGAAATAAGAAGAAAATTACAAATAATAAAAGTGTTCATTTCAATAATAACAATGACTGTCAAAAGTCAACTGACAGGTGTTTTGAATGAATACCAGATTAAGAAAGTCTTTTGGTGATGCAAATAATAGAAACAAGAGGAGGGTATATTAACTGAGGCAGAATGGTGATGGGATTTGCCAAAATTCTGAACATTTAATTTTTTTTTTTTTATATTTCTACATTTTTAAATATTTGCAGAATGTATTCACATTGTTGGGAAAACTATCAAGCCAAATTACCCCATTAAGTTACCCCTCGGAATGGACTCTCAATAAAATTGAGAATTAATACTACAAAAAAAAAATGTGCAAGTATTCCTGCAGGCATGTCTACAAACTCACAGGCATATATATATATATATATATATATATATATATATATATATAAAAAAATCCAGTAATAGTTTTCTAGCCATATATTGAGCCTGTGCTCTGGTATTTTAAATGAATAGGTATAATTATACCACCTCTTTTTAAATTGGCAGCCAGTGTAACCAATTTATGTTTTTTCATTGCCATTGTTATTTTCTACCTCGGCACAATACACTACCCTTTCTGTGCAGCATGCCCCATGTAAGGGACAATTATTTTTTCTTCTGTAATCACAAAGGACCTTAGTTCCACTCCTCACAAGTTCCTCAAGCTGAGTTAAGCACCTGATAAAACCTTGACAGTCAAAGCCATGGTAATATTCTTTTCAGCATTTTATTATATTAGAATTCAGAATATATACATACATATATATATATATATTGAGTATAGATATGAATCTGACAAAATGATAGGATAAAGAACAAGAAGAAACAGATCTCAATCTAACATGTTTCACTTTATTAAGCTTTGTCAAAGATCAAGATAGAAATGATAAACAATGATAAAAAGCAAAGAGATGCAGATTAATGGTATGTTGTCTTTGGCTATTGATTAGATATGTGTCATGTGTAATGAAGTAACAGATAATATTCAAATAAGTGTAAGATAACGTTCTGGATGATAAAGTGTGTAAAAGTTAGTGAAATGCAGAAGGATGTTTTGAAGAATTTTGTTTTGGCTTGATTTTTCATTAAAGTATATCTTGTGTGTATTTTGTATATATCTTCATTGATTTTTATGTATTTGGAAGGGATAAGTTAGATTCATGAATAATGTGGATCTGTAGAAAAATGGTGACCTAATGTAGTTTTATATTTATATATATATATATATATATATATATATATATATATATATGTATGCACAAGGTGTATCAAAAATACTTTTACAAACTCTGGGGTTAGGTTCCACATAGCAAAACAAGGACAAAAATCCATATAAACATATGGAAAAAAAAGTATTAGGGGTATGAAGAAAATTAACCTTTGATTGTTACATTTTATATTGAGTTTATCAGCTGCCCTCTTGACCTTTTTCACTAAACCAATTAATTAGAATTTGAAGGTCCTGTGGTTGTCCTATAAAGGTGTTGAGAAGAATGAATTTAGCAACTAGAGTTTTGCTTCCTTCAGGTTACTTGTCTCACCACTTAGTTGTTTAATACTCACTGTTCAGGATCAAACTTTTCTGGTTCAGTCCAGTATTTTGGATCATAATGTAAACACATGACTGGAAACATGACACCTGTATTCTTGGGAATTTTCATTCCTTTTATGATGCAATCTTCTTTTGCTTGCCTTGTCAGCCTAACAAAGAGAAACAATAATATTTGTTATCTGTCTATATTTCTGAGATGAGGTATTATGTACACGAAAAACATGGCATGTGAACAGTCTACCCCACTGAGCAAAATAAAGGGTTCAGTTCGACATTCCAACCACCTGAAGAAGACCCAAGCATACAATGGTCAAAATGTAATAAATATGGCAACAAAGATGAGGACAATAGTCTGAATAATGCAAATAGTGTAAATAATATTTGTTATGATTAAATCTAATTTCTCCAACTGGAAGCAGATTATAAACAAAAGATTTTACAAGTATAGATATGTACAATTCATGCACACATTATATAAATTTAATTGTAGAGCATGCAGTAAAGCTACATTTTATATGAATGCATTTGTGCAGCATCATATATGTTTTTACTTAATACCTACAAAGAAAACATCAGTATGTAGACACAAGTATATCATCCTATAAAAACACACAATATTTACAAACCCCATACATGTACAAAGAAAACATCAGTATGTAGACACAAGTATATCATCCTATAAAAACACACAATATTTACAAACCCCATACATGCACAAAGAAAACATCAGTATGTAGACACAAGTATATCATCCTATAAAAACACACAATATTTACAAACCCCATACATGTACAAAGAAAACATCAGTATGTAGACACAAGTATATCATCCTATAAAAACACAATATTTACAAACTCCACACATGCACAAAGTATGTTTTATTAAATTGCCAAGTTGTCCCATTTTTTTCCCAAATGAAATTCAAAATGAAATTCAAAAGTTCAAAAATGATTGCCTTTTACTTCCTGGTCTGAAGCCATTACAGTGTTTATCTTTAATTTTGGAGACCTGTTCTGAAAGCCATAATTTGTAGTTTGAAAAAAAAATGATCCTTACAAGAGATGATTGGTGAATAAATATATGAATGGTTGTTTGTAGATGATGCATTCATATCATTAAAAAATATGTCCTTGTGTTTGAATATCATGCTACTTAAGTTTTTTTTTTCACTTCTTTTTAAATGTTAGGAAAGGTTTGCTTTTAATTGTATGTCTAACACAGGGGCTATTTTTTTTGGGGGGGGGACCAAAGAAATTCCATAAAGGACAAAATATAGTACCTCAATGATCTGCTGGGTCACAGAGTAATTTGGTTGCCTGCTGGAATTGTTATCAGTTCAATGTGAAAAAAGATATGACCACAATTTTGATTGTAACTTTTATATAACATCTACCAAACAATGTTTTCCTTTACAAAGATAATTATTGATTTTTTTAATTAAAAAGTCTACCTTTAGAATCCGATAAGAAATTCTATTCGCATAAAGACTATTATTCATAATCAAAATCTCTCAAAAAAATAGTTTATCTATTTTTCATTCCTTTTATGATGCAGTCTTTAATCAGAGACAATTCCAAGTGTCTAAATTTAATAGATTTGTTTTTAAATCCAATTATTTTCATTATTATCTGCTTAGGAATGAAAAACTTTTGACCAATTTTACAATAAAGCATATTGTCAAAATGCAAAATGAAGGTGAACATAGTCCCATTCTGAAAGACATTTTACTTTTTATTTTTAATAGATTTGTTCTGGACATTCAAATCCATTCATTATTATTATTATCTGCAAACCTTTTGACCAGTTTTACAATAACACATACTGTGTAAGTATAAAAAGTGCGTCATGGCCTGAATGCCATTTTAATGTTCATATCTAATAGATTTGTTTTTGACATTTCAATTTTTCCCTCCATCTTATCTCAAGAGGATTTACATGACAATACCCACCTTCTTCCTAAATGTATCTTTAATACAAAATATGTTTTTATCTATATAAACCTTCACCATTTTTCTAAGTTTTGAGCCATATCATTGGCCCAAGAAATGCTACAAAGGATTTTGTATGTAATGATATATTTGATTATGGAATAAATTGCCTTCCTCCAGGAATAGTTATCAATAGAAAAGATATAAGCAAAGGATATGTTGGAGTACAAATTGTTTTTATAATCCTTTAACTTGGAAGCCAGTTTTACATAACTTACACTAAAGCAATTGGATACATCCTCAATGTTTCATCCAGACACATATCAAGATAGGTCAGTTTCTGGACATTATCATAATTTGGAGATTCCTAGAAAAAGAAAAAAATATCAATCTACATGTAAATTGTATTTACTTCAAAAGTGAGTCATTATTCAAGGCTCATTTTGCTCAAGGCAAGAGTGCATCACAATTTAAACAAATATTTCATTTATAAGATGACAATGATTTAAATCATCTGCAACTATGAGGGATATTTGGGGGATTAGGATTCTTGTCTGATTTGGAAACAACCAATTTGCTCTATAAATATTGATAAGATTTTACTGCAACTTTAAACATTGGAGAAATTCATTGATAATCAAGGAAATCTGTTAACATTGAGAAATTCTATAAAATCCTGATTCTTTAATTTGGAAAAGGAACACTTGAAATATTTGGTCTATAAATACTGAAAAGGTTTTAGTGTAGATTTAGACATTGGTTAAATTCATTGATAATCAAGTGAATCTTTTAAAATAAGGACATTCTATAAATAAAATTCTGATTTTTTAATTTGGAAAAAGATCTCTGGAAATAAAGAGAGACGAGGATAAAAAACAAAACCCATACAAGTTCTAGAAAACTCAGATTTGGATAATTAAAAGTTTTGACCTGTCCAAGTTTTTCTTTTATTTCTTGGTAAAGTTTCTCCTGAACATCAGGGTTCATTGCTATTGAGTGAGCAAAGAAAGACAAGGTGGATGCTGTAGTCTCAAAACCAGCCAAGAAAAAAACCATGCATTGTGCGATGATTTCTACATCTGTAAGACCTGCAAAAATATTCAAGAAAATCTCATCAAATAACATATAAAATATAGATAATAGTAAAATGTTGAAAATGACGAAATATTGAAGGGCTATTCATTAAAGGTTTTCCTGACCCATTTCCGGTGGATAAAAAGACTGGAAGGTTTGCACTCATTGTTACACATTTCTAACAATTACTACAATTGTGGAGATCTTTCTTATAGAACTCTGCTGGTTGGAAACTGCAGTGAGAGCTTTTCATTAATTAAGTGGTTGCCTTTCATATATAAATTCATGGAGAGAAAGAGGTGAAAATCAGATGGTAAGAAGGGAATTAGGATAATCATAAAAATGTGTTTTATTTTAGCAATATGAGAATTATTTACTCATGCAGTCTTACCAGATTTGGACACTTGCTCAGCATCCTATGTTTATTACTTCCTGTAATTTAAACAGCAAAGAGGCATAAAAAAAAAACCCTGGTTAATGTGGTACAGAAAATAAATAGACACATCATTTCTGTCCCAGAAGATTTAGCATACAACTGTTGTAATAAGCGTTTGGTTGCGAGGATAAAATAAAAAATGTTGTTCTCTGCACATAGGCTTCTAGCATCATATCCAATGCTCTAGGCAAGCCCTGTCAAATAACACTGGCCAATCACAAACATTCCCACCAGAAAAGGTTTCCCCGGGTATTACCAGATCTGCTTAAAAGTAGGTCTCTGATAACGACCAGGCAGTTGCAGGCCAGAAGGCTACTGGGCAACATGCAAGGTGCTGCTGCTGCCTCTCAATATGACCACTCCTCTTAACAACCATTACCATTCCTGGGCTTTACAATTCACCTGACTCTCCATGGAATCCAGAATTTCATCACCACCCAGCTACAAGCCTTCAACATTGCCAAAGCTGTTACCTTCGCAAACCCGACACATTACAGTGGCCAACTATCCAGCTTCAACAACACTTTGTCATCTTGGAAACCCACAGTTGTTACCTCAGCATACCCAACTTGATAAAGGCATTCCCTTTGTAATTGACACTGCAGCCCTGTTCCACAGAACAGGCCTACCAACCATGCCAATCAACCCACCTGTGCATATCCTGTGACCTTGGTCAAACCAGCACAAGAAATAGGTCAATTTTCATCACTTCCCTTACACCTGATCGCCATCATGACAATTTATACTCGTGTATCATGTGACTTTTGAAAACCTAATTTTGAAGCTAATTTTAAGGTGGTCACATCATACATAAGATATAAAATGTACTGCTGGCTCTGGTTACACCATTGACCAAACTATATATTCATTTACCATACTCAAATTAGGTTCAAAATTAGGTCTTTAAAAGTCGCATGGTATGTGAGTATATATATATATATATATATATATATATATATATATATATATATCAGGTCATCCCATAAGTTCTGTCCGAATTTTGAATAAAGAAAACAAGTGACCAAATGTTACATTTAATTACAGATTCAATCAACAATGTATTTTCCCTGATTATCTATGACTTCCTACCATCTATTAACAAGCTTACTAATTCCATTACTGTAAAATTCTTTTGGCTTTGATTTGAAGAACTCACAAATGTCAGTTTTAACCTCTTCCTGTGTTACAAAAGCTGTTTCTTCCAAATGATTCTGTAAGCTATGAAACAAATGGTAGTCTGAAGGAGCAAGATCGGGGGAATAAGGTGGATGAGGAATTTTCTCCCAACCAAGTTCTTTAATCTTTTGTGACGTGATTCTTGTTGTGTGGGGTCGCGCACTGTCCTGATGAAACATCACCTCTTTTCGATTCACTAGAGCAGGTCTTTTTTACCTCAAAGCTTGGTTCAAATGCTCTAATTGCTGACAGTATATTTGAGCATTAATTGTTGCATTAGGTGGTAAGAATTCAAAGTGGATTATTCCTTGGCAATCCCACCAGATTGAAAGAAGAACCTTTTGCCCATGAAGTTCCCTTCTCGGCTGTGGCTGGGGTCCTTCCCCTTTACCAAGCCACTGTCTACAACACTTAACATTTCGATAAAAGATCCATTTTTCGTCACCAGTCACAAGTCTATCCAAAAAAGGTGAAACAAGTTGCCGAGAATGGAGAAAAGGGCAGATGTCAACTCGGGATTTGAGGTTGTTTTCAGACAATTCATGAGGCACCCATTTTCCAAGTTTTTGAAGATGACGATGAACAGTTGCATGGTTTGAACTGAGAACCACTGCCAATTCCTCAACTGATAAAGCAGGATTTTCTTCAAGGGCTGCTTCAAGAAACTTTTCATCAAACTCAACTGGACGTCCGGTTCGATCTTCATCTTCAAGGGTGAAATCTCCACCTCTGAATTTTGCAAACCATCTTCTGCAAGTTCTTTCATTCACACATTCCTCTCCATAAACTGAGTGAATGTTTCTAGCTGCTTCGGCTGCTGAGTTTCCTTTCTTGAACTCATAAAGCATTATGTGCCTCAAATGATTCTTGGGTACTTCCATGTTAGCAGGGTTTTAATCAAACAAAATTTAATTTTATTGTTCTCTGAAATAAAATTTGATCAGTTTAAATGCATCTAAACATAAAAATAATGTTCAGCTCCATTAGACATTATAAAATACTCTTTAAATTTCGTTCATTTTTTTTTTTTTTTTTAAGTGTTTCACCCCAAGGATGCAAGGGGTTACTGAAAATTTTGGAGCAAGATCAGATAAGAGTGATAGAGGAAATGATGAGGAGAAGGATAGTGGATAGATCAAGGCAACTGGAGATGTCGATTGACATTACATTTGAATAGTTGGAAAACAAGGAATAGGGAAGGGAGTTCCACAGGCGAGAGGTGCGAGACATAAAGCTATTGGAGTAGAAGAGACGGCTACATTTAGTAGTTTCGACAGAGAAAGGGTGAGAGCGGTATGCCAGCTTCGTAGGGCGCTTGAATTCATGAAGTCTGGGAACCAGCGAATACAGCTCCTCGGAGCAATTTTAACAAAAAGTTAAAATTCAGACAGAACTTATGGGATGAGCTGATATATCAGCAGCCTGACTTTTAGCCATAATCTTCTACTTGAATACATGGGCAACATTCAAAACATCACTTCGATACAAATATTTATTGTGTTGAACTCAAAGAAAATAACAAGCAATAACTGAGGAGCACAAATGAAGAACAAATTGAGACATGGACAACAGAATAAGAAAAATCTGGAGATTAAATAAAAAATTTTGTTTGAAATTCCCTGAATGTTAACCAAATTGACAAACACCAGAAGAAGGCTGAAGACCACATCATCAAAATTGCTATGATAATAACAACAAAGATGAGGACAACAGTCTAAATGCAAATAACCTAAATAACAGATATTAATATAAAATTGCATTGTCCTTTAATCGTATTTCATAATTTCTACATTAAAATATTAAAAAAAAACTTATTAAGGCTCAGATAATCTCGTGTTGCATGCAATCAATTGGAATGACTGCTAAAAAACATCTCTCTCAATAAATTCATAGACAAATCCTACAGTTGCATGTTGGGATTTCTTCTTAAACAGAAAATGGACCACTTCTCAGTCTCATACTCTATATTTTTCATCCTTTCTTGTCTCGAAGTCAAAATGCTACAATCACTTGATTGTATCTTTTTGAGTATTAACACCATTCTTTGTGAAATTTGTGCCTTATTACTGTTACTTTGACTAGCTTTTTCTTACATATATATTGTTTGCTTAGTTTTGTCATGCATATATATGCTTGTTTAGTTTTGGCTTGTATATATATTGCTTGCTTAGTTTTGGCTTGCATATATATTGCTTGCTTAGTTTTGTCCTGCATATATATTATTTGCTTAGTATTAATTTGTCCTGTTCTCTTTCTTTCTTTTCTTATTGTTTATTGAAAAATTTGTCAACTCTGTTTGTTGGACATTTTTGTCAATTACTCTTACACATCATCAATTTCTTTTAACCATGACCGGTGAATTGCCATCTATTTATCCCAGGTAAAATCAGGTCACCTTGCCAGTGAATTATGTTTAATGATAACCAAATTGCCATTACCTCTTTTTGTTCTCCAGTCTGTTATATTTTCCAGTTTGAGTTCTTGTTCAATTTTCTTGTCCAACTTTTCATGGCCTTCAAGTTGAGCATCCAACATCAGTTGCAGCAGATCTTTACGTGTCTGAAATTTTAAATAACACAATCCAAAAATATGGAAAGCAAATATTTCTTTCACTCTTATGGCATAACCTCCTTCATTTTAACATGTCTCAACAGATCCGTTGCTTTTGTAGTAAATGATAACTTCTTATGTCTTAGAATTGCCCCACCTATAGATTATGCAAATATTCACTTGCATGAAAATGAACAAGCACAAGGGTGAATCAGTTGTCTTTAACCTGTCATATAGGTATTAGCTGAATTTTGATCTGACACTTCCATTAAAAATTTGGTCGATGTGATTAATATTTACTTAAGACAAGGAATAAGATAGTTGAGAAATTTTTTTTTATTAAAATAAATGCTTTTATCCTTTGGCTATGAATTTGTTGATCTACATATATATATATATATATACATATATATATATATATATATATATATATATATATATATATATATATATATATACATATATATATATATACATATATATATATATATATATATATATATATATATATATATATATATACACACATATATACATATATATATACACATATATATATATACATATATATATATATATATATATATATATATATACACATATATATATATATACATACATATATATATATATATATATATACATATATATATATATATATACATACATATATATATATATATATATATATATATATATATATATACATATACATATATATATATATATATATATATATATATATATACATATATATATATATATATATATATATATATATATATACATACACATATATATATATATATATATATACACATATATATATATATATATATATATATACACACATATATACATATATATATATATATATATACATACACACATATACATATATATATATATATATACATACACACATATATATATATACATATATATATATATATATACATATATATATATATATATATATATATATATATATATATATATATATATATACATATATATATACATATATATATATATATATATATATATATATATATATATATATATATATATATATATATATATATATATATATGAAAAATGTTTTAATAACTATGTCCTAAAGAAGGTCTACTAGACTGAAACATCTGATGTTGACATTGAAACAACATTAAAACAGCATACTTGCATATTAGTATTTTTGTTTTTCCATATTTTTCTTCATACTGTCGGATCTATATCCACATATTTGCTTACATACATGTATATATATATATATATATATATATATATATATATATATATGATGAGGCAGAGAATATACTTACACTTGTGTTTTTCTCTTTCTTTCGTTCTTCAACCAATTCCTTGCAAAAATCAACAAAGTATGCAATGTTCCCAAGCACAATTCCAGGTTTAATCTTGTTTAAAATTTTTCCAAGCAAAGGAAATAAGACTGCAATGAGAAAAAATATATGAAGGATTAAATTCCTTTATTCTATAGAATGACATGTGTTGGATTAACCTCTCCTAATTTTCTAAATTGCTACTAGGGGACGCTCTCTGGACTATAAATAATATTTTTTCTCACCCTCTTCTTACTTTATTTGTCAACATGTAAACTTCTCGCGCAAAATTGCACTTCTCTTTGGGAAACACATAACTGGCCCGCAACAATTTGGTGATGCTCGACAGGATCATTATTTTTCTCCTGATAACAAGAATTACACAAAGCTATATATGTACAAACTCAAATATACATCTACACACCTTTTTCAAACTGAGAGGTAGTGAAAAAAAAAAGCCAAACTTTTCTTCCTACCCTACCACACATGGTGGAGACTATAAACTTTTAGCAAAAACAATTTACACAGCCACAAAATTTGTGATTAGACCCTATAAAAGTGCAAGATCACAAATTTCATTCAGTACAACATATCTACACAACACATGATGTCTTCTGACTTGGTAAATACATTTTTTTTGTAACATGTGGGACCCCCACCAAAAAATTGCTAATTACGTTTTAATTACTGCTACATTGGTTAGTCTGTAGGCAAACAATACACACCTCTTCCTGTCTTTTTGCTTGACCCTGCAGTCTATGTCAACATCTTGAGTCAATATACAGACTTTTCAGCCATTTGAAAGTAATGACTCTAGTAAACAACAAACACAGAGACATTACGCTTGGCTTGAGCTCAACTGGTAGATATCTTGAAAAAAATTTTTTGACAATTTTAATCAAGATTTTTTCTTCTGGGCTCGTCAGATAAACTGTGACACATCTCAAAGGGTAACCCACTGTCCTTTTTTTTTAATCTGCAATGATGTCACTCAAACAACAACACTCAGTAGAAATTCAACTTTGCTACAACACTGCTTCTATTAAATTTTGTGCACCAACTTTATGCACACATAGCAAACAAACAAAACTCTTCCAACAAACATGAACCAATACAACAGGACGATAAAACCATTTCAACATGGAGCATTGGAAAAAGACAAATTTTAATAGCAAACACTGAATAATTTACACTACTAACTCATCCTCCAGGACATGCTACGATCCTGACTTACTAGAGAAATTATACATGACAGCACAAGCACATGCCACATTTCTGACACCATTTTTTTTCACCTCATGAGGACAGAAACAAACCTACACAGACTTTACATATTGGCAGAAAAAATTCTACCCATCTGGAAGAGAGTATTGTCGAGTTAACCCCTACTAATTTTCAAAACCGCTATTAGGGGAAGCTCTCTGGACTATAATTACTCTGCAATATTTTTTCTCACTCTATTCTTACCCTAACATGTAAACCTCTTGCAGAAAACATGTTTTCTTTTGGGAAACACATGAGCAAAACACACATGTAAATACACACATTCACTCACTACATATACGACCAAAATGGTTTTCACATTCATTTGTTACACACATCATTGTCTGTGTCACTTGTATACCTTTATTGTTAATACATTATCATTTGTTTGTACATTGGTTCTTGTCATTTCTTTTCATTTTTTTATGTGGATTCACATCCTGAGTCCTCCATTTTGTTGTGAGTATTTCAGAAAATAGCGTGTTATTTCCAGTTTCAAATGCCAATGTTACTAACGCCTGAAACACATCAGGAATGGCATAACCAGCCAACGCATGAAACAATAAAATGACGAATAAAAACATAAAAAATTTAAAAAAAAAAATGTCTATTTTTATTTTGGTCAGAGAAACCTGACAAACAAAAGAGGAGATTCTTCATAATGTTCAAATATTCATCATAAAACAAAACCTGTCTTTGATTTTCTAATATTTTGAATTAAATTTCTTTGACTTCTATCGATTTCCTCAAAATATTAAATTCTGATGGGTCAAAATAATAAAACAAGAAAAAAGAAAGTTGCTAGTCACATGACGAATACATTTACGCTAAAAGTCTTGTATCTCTGCATGTATAATTATTTATAATACAAATTCAGATATATATATGCCATCAGAAAAAATAATATTGAAGATAATGAATGAAAAAAAAATTTATGAAATGCTTTGCTGTTTTCCTCAGTGTAATAAATATCAACATGGTTGAATACTGAAATATAATTCTAATTATATTCTGTCAATCAAATAACTTCAAATTGGTTCTATGAAAATTGTGGGTTACCCCCACATAGCTTTGCCAATTTCGCTAAGATGCTGTTAGGTGGCCCTGATAAGCAGCTATAAAAGTAGGACACTTCCTGTTTTCATCCTCTTTTCTTTCTAGTATTGCAGCAGAAATGATATCTTGTTCCTTGACATAGGGAGATTCCTCTTAGTGATCTTTCACAAACATGCAGTGCTGGATTTACCTATAGGCTTAGCAGGCTGAAGCCTAGGGCATCAAAATCTAGAGAGTCTCAAGACAAGGTGTATAATATTTTGACACTATCATTGGCATTTCTTACACATGCTGTCATAATGCATTGTAGACTCTAAACAACTGTTTAGTAATTTTCTTTAGATTCCATTTCAGAATAATTTTGTTTTAAGCCAATAAATTGATTTCTTTATAGATTTTGTCCTGCCAAGAAAGTAATGAGGTAGATAATTTGTTATATATTCTACCTACAAACACTAATGGGTATGTTCCAATCTTCATAAATATGTTTGACACTATTGCGAGTGAGGGAATATGCTGTCTAAGTAGTTCACCGCTAGCAGAGGTTTACCTACTTCACACCGCTAGCGAGTGTTGATATTATAAAGATTACCATTTCATTTCCAACCTCCATTTTTGTTATTCTTCATTCAGTAACACTTTCTAGATTACAACATAATTAGAAAACACAGCTGTGCAAGTATCTGAAGAGGACATTGCTGTTTTCATCAGTTAAGTTAGTAATAAAACTACACTTATTTGTATTGTCTTTGTTAATGAGAGGAAAAGGCAAACTCGTTTTGGGAACAGTTTTTGGAAGCAGATTTGATTTAGATTTTGCAATATAACTCAATGAAGAACAATTCTTTAAGAAAAAATGCCCAAGTTTATATTATACAGAAAAAAGTTCATGAACCCCATTTTGTAAAAACATCTGTAAAGTCAACAAATATCATAACAGCAAGTGTTGCAAAAATTGTCATTGAATTTTAGAACATTTAGTGTCCTTTCATGTTTTTCTTTCTATTAACTGTTGAAGAATAATTTTACTCTGTACTTGCAGATTCTAATCTGAGCATGAGTAAAGGATTTGAAAATCCTACTAGCAAGTGCGAGAGAAAAAGTCTTGAAAAGTATATGGCAAAGAAGTTAACACCAATCACTGTTTTCTTTCATCAACCAGACAGATGCATCACGTGCCAGTGATGAAGCAAATACAGTGATACTAACACAAGGTCTGTCTTTTTTAATATAACAGTGAACTTAAAATTTTATGTGTACAAAGTCTGGTTAATTTTAGCATTCATGCATTTTTTCAATCACATACTGTATTTAGCAATAACATTTAACTTTAGAAGTCATCATCCTCAGCTTTACTCAAATTGCCTTCTTCTATTTTCCTCTACTCATGAGAATTGGGGATATGGATGTGGGACCTCACAAGTGGAAGAGCCTAGAATCTCCCTAAATTCAGACCTTCACACATACACATGTATCACCTGCCCACTAATAATTACTAACTTTTAATGTCTTCTTTCTTTCACATGCATACTGCTACATTTTCTCACATTTCTTATTCGGTTTTATAAAAACTAAAATATAAAATATTGCCTTCTTGAAATTTATTCATTTTCTTATGCCCAGAATTCAAATGTGTAAATTTTGTTTGTCACTGTTTTTAGCAAAACTAGGTGTTGTTCCAAAAAAAAACTAAAAAAGAAAAGTCATTGTTTTTCTTTCTACCTTGTCTTTAAACAATAATATGGTCTTCATATGTGTATTAATTGATTGTGTTAAAATGAGTAGATCTTTTTCCAACTTACTTGTAAGACCAACTATAGATTTTAAAAAGTCAGCAGAAAAGATTTTTCGAGCATTTTTAACAACAGGGCTGTCAGGATCTTCCTGTGAATCTACTTTAATTCCAAAACCAGTTGACGCAATCACATCCATTGTATAACCTGAAAATAAACTAAAAAAAGAAAAAAATCAATTTACATACTATAGCAAAGAAAACGGCGACTTACCTCGTCAAACCAAGCAACAGTGCATAGTGTGTATTCTACGACGGAAAATGTGTCGAAAAAGAAAATTACTTACCAAAAAAAAGGGCACATATTCCGCATGACATGCTGAAAATGGAATATTTGAATAAAAAAAAAACAAGTCCATCGCAGGAGTCACTATAAAAGTATTTTGATATGCAAATTACTGAACATACTCTCCCAGCTGTCGATGAATGAAAAAAAAAAAAAAATGTTCTGCCGATAAAAGCAGTTGGTGTTCTCAAATCAAGAGCAGAAAATTTGGGCATTTTGGCTACCGTGTTAGTTAGAGAGTCAGTTATTTTTCTGACTAGTTACACACATTGTGATTCGAGATAGTACCGGCGAATCGAGTTTTCAGCATTTCTTTCTGCCCCTGATATTTGAGTCTGTACTTACAGTGATTTTTCTTTGTGTTGTGGAAATAATCTGCAACAAATACTTCCTTAGCTTTCAGAATGCTTACACATACAAAGTAACAATTTTATATTAGTAGATTATATAAAAATATGCTTTAACCTGAATGTTCTCATTCACTTAGAGTAAAAATTTACATTCTTACAAGAGAGAAAAAAGGGAAATTATTAATTGATATACAAAACAAATACATATTCTTAAAGGTTGCAATATTTCACACCTGATTTATGCTTTAGTTTACATATTTAAATTTATTTGTGGCAAAAATTTACTTTCTTAGCAAAGGAGAGACAAAGGGTAAGTTCTTAATTGATATTAGAAACAAATATGTCTTCCTAGAGTAGCAATATTTCACACATGCATACAAATGTTCAATACATTAGTCTCTATTTTCTTTTTCATTTGTAGTAACATTTTAAATTCTGACAAAAGGAGAGACAAAGGGCAAGTTCTTAATTGATATTCCAAGCAAATATGTCACCACGGAGATGCAATATTTACACAGATTAATAAAAAAGTTTGTCAGACTTTAATGTCTACAACAACAAAAATTATTTGCTATTATTTTAACTACCTTCACTCCTCCGCAATGTTATAGTTTTAAAAAGCAGTGATTGGAATTGTAATAAAACCTGAACATATGATGAAAGAGAATTTACACACTTTTTTGTTTATTGAGCATTTACAACAAAAATATTAAACAGTTTTTATTTATTAGATTGTTTTACTAGAATAATTTTATATTTACAGCATTCTAAAAACTAATAGAATTTTATTAAAACTAATGCCATACAACAGTTATCATCACTTCATAAAGAAATAAATGTGAAAACAATTTTTTATTCATAGACATTTACTAAATCATTAAAATATGTGAACCATCTCTAAGGAAATCCTTATTATTTACCATTTTATAAAGTTCAAATGCTTTGAAAATTACTTCATAGTTTTCAAATGCCCAAGAAACAATCTAATAAATAAATAATGTTTATTATTTTTGTTCTCAAGAACAAAGAAAATGTATAAATTCACTTTTATATGTTTAGGTTTTATTAAAATTCTAATCATTGCTTTTTAAAACTGTAAACATTGCTGAGGAGTGAAGGTAGTTAAAATAATAGTGGTGTCAAGGGAAAAAGTGGCCTTTTGACACACTGTATTTTTTTTTGCAGGCACAAAGGTTAAAGATTTCAAAAAGTTTACTGGTTATCTTCCCACTCATTTGTAATAACAATATATATATTCTTATACCTGTAGAGACAAAATGCAATTAATTTTACAAACAATTATGATGCCATATAAATGCAATATTCACACAAATATATGCCAAGACTTGTGCTCTTTGACTTGGTGCAAATTAGCAAGTGTGTCTTGCTAGATCTATTACTACTGGTCATCAATTACTACCACCATCAATGGGTACTCCAGTCTTGCATCCTTGTACCACAACTAAGCTACACTTGGATCACCATATGCAAATGGAGATAGAGAATGAGGTACTTTTGTTTCCAAAATTAAGATGTGGGAAAATTAATTATATAAATAAAATAATAATAATAATATAATATGAATATGAATAATATAATCTCTATCTATAAAAGGCAGGATGTGTGAGTGTGTGTGTGTAACGAATGCACGGCTGCAATTTTCGATGGATTTGCACCAAAATTTACATGCACATGCTCCAAGTTAGCAGAAAGGGCAACTTTGCATTTCCCAACTCCCATCAATAGTGGAAATAATTGATTTTTTTCATGCTTCTATGGCAGTTTTCATGTAGTTTGTGGCCATTTTCTACTGGCCAGAGTGAGAGCCAACAGCTGACCAACACAAATGTTAACTAGCATGCTAGCATGCAAAAAAAAATCGATAGCTGCATTCATCACAATCATTCGCTTGCTTAAACTCAACGTTGATTCTGATTCCGCAGAACTGGGTTGGGTGTGAAAAAGTATTTGTTGTTAACATTCTTTATTCATTCGGTTTTTCTAGTTACGTGTTCTTTTTTTAAAGCTGATCGTTTTGTGTTCATTTTGTTTAGTTCTTTTTTCGTAACAGATTTAATGTTTAGTATAGAGTTTAGAAAAAATTTGCAGTATGAGATAGGCAAGAAGTAAGGCATGTAGCAACATCAGCACGGTAAAGGGAACTCCTTTAAAGGCAAGGAAGAGCAAAAATATTTTAAGTCAAGTGATAGCAATTGCTGTATGAGTTGTATGATTTTTGAATCAAGCACGGACAACACCAGGTCATGCTGCTAGTATAATAATAATATAAATAAAATAATAATAATGGATATTAAAAAAAGAAAAGAAATACATTTCACCACATGCTAAGAGTAAAGGAATCAGAAATAGGATTATTCTACAAGGGTTTGTCAAATGCCATTAGATGGCAATAGTTAAGTATAAAAAGACAAATATTTTTCCATTTTATTCTCTTTCTCTACTTTTGCTTCAAGATGGAGCAGTATGTGGAAAACTGTTTTTTCCAATCAGGTAGATTAGTTTCCCTGGTTTACTCATGTCCTACCCTTTTTTCCCACTTTTTAATACATGGTGCTTGCATGTGGCTTTCACCAATGAAGTAAGCTAAACATTTTCTTTGGTTGTTTTAACTCCGCGCAAGGCTGACTTGAACTCAATCATTAATATGATGCTTATAATTACTTACCCTAACATCTGAACCCAGAAAAAGAAAGTGAACATACCATAACCATGTGTAAACCTTCCAAAAGTAAGTAAAAACTTTTCTTTGATTGTTCCAAATCTGTGCAAGGCTGACTTGAGTGTGACTATTAGAATGACGCTTACTTACCCTTACTCCTCAACCAAAAAGAAAATGAACATACCCAAGAGACATTGAGAACTTTTATTCACTACAGTTTATATATATATAAAAAAAGAGAATAAACAGTATGTAGTAGAAACCCAAGGTTTTGTATGATTGTCCTTCAATTGTTTACATATTAACATGCACACCAATAAATAGCATCAACTCACAGACTTTTTCAATTAAATAATTTAATTTTATAGATAAATCAATATATATATAATATATATATATAGATATATAATATATATACATATCTATAGAATATATAAAATATATACATGTATATAATATATATACATATATATAATATATATACATATATAATATATATACATATATATAATACATATATATACATATTTATATAATATACATATTTATATAATATATATATATATAAAATCTATATACATATACATATATATATATATATAGAGAGAGAGAGAGAGAGAGCAAGAGAGAGATAAAACAAGATTTATTTTCTAATTGTTGTTTTTTAGGCTAAATCATTAGAACCAAGAAAATTATTGAATATTTTTTAAAATAAATAGTTTTTGGATTAAGTACCAAAATGAATAATCTAATCACCCTGTCGATTTGAATCTCAAAATATAGTCAGACTGATTTTTTTTTTGTATCAATTTATATTTCATTCAACAATAAAATCTATTATGTTTGCCATTTGGAAACTCACAAGGTGACGTCAGTTGCTTCCTGACTATCTGCAATTTTATTCAAATTTTTTTCAAAAGTTTTCAGAACATCTTCAATCAAGGGAACCATCTGAAATCAATAAAAATGTGATCAGATAGAAAGACGTCATGTATTTTCATTTTTTTTTTTCATCTTTTTTATATACGATTGCTTCTTCACTAATAATGTCATTCTTTACACTAATATTATCATCTGGGAGAATAAGTTGTTTAAAAACAGGATCAAATAGAAATACATCATTTAACTATCTTTCATTTTGTTTTAGATGATGTCATTTATCTGATTATGTCATTGCTTGCATTAAAATTCTCAAATGAGATAATCAGTATATACATTTAACAGTGATTAATTAATTCAGTAAATTAAATCATATATTAAACTAATTCATCTCCTACAACAAATAATCAAGAGAATTTGTTGAAAAAAATTATTATATAAATATTTGCGCTGTACAGACCTCACGCATCCTTTTCGAACTGTAAGAAGGTGCCAAGACAGTACGAAGATATTTCCAGTGGTCATCTTTTGCAGCAGATAACATGTTTTCACTGTATTCATTTCCTGAAATGATTAACTGTGAAAGAGGAAAAAGATATGAATAAATTTTTTACATTGAGTGAACTAAATATTCTTTATGTATGTGTGTGGAGGGTGTAAATGTAACTTGATCTTGAATTTCTGTCTATATTTCTGAGATGAGGCATTATATACACTATTTACATTATTCGGACTATTGTTCTCATCTTTGTCGCCATATTCATTACAACGTTTCGTCCATTGTACACTCCAGCCTTCTTCAAGTGGTTGGAATGTTGAACTGAACCCTTTATTTCGCTCACTGGGGTAGACTGTTCTAGTTCCACATGCCATGTTTTAATGGATGTCAGTTATCTCCTGTTAATTCCCCTCTCCATGTTCTCCACTGCCTTAACCAGGTATTGAACTCACATTCTAACTAACGCCTTTATCCACTGTGCCATGTGTCCTTGAGGACATCTGTGTATGAATTTCTGGGTATTATAAACCTAATGTTTTCAGCAACAATTTTTTTTACCAGTGCTCATATTGCAATTTTTGCTGTTTTCATCTCATGTTTTTACCAGAGCTCATATTGCAATTTTTTGTCATTATTATCGCTTTTCTCTGGCACTCCTTATTACTGGTTCCCATAATGTATTCATTTCTATGCTTGGTCGGCTCAGAAGATTTTTGTGGCCTATCATATGTGCTGATTCCTTAAGTTTACGAATTTTCCAATGGTGTTCTTTGTCTATGATCTCAACCTGATCCCACAGAGGGCAGTGATCTACCTTCTCTTTCCATATGTGGTCAGCCACACCTCATTTTTCCACTTCTCCTTGTGTTACAGCTTTTTGGTGTTCTTGAAGCCTTACTTTAAGGAAGTGGCCTGTCTCCCCTTTATATTTCTTTCCCCAGCTGCACGGGAAAGCATACCCACAGTCTTTAGTCATGTTCTCCTCTATCAGTTAGATAGAATTTTAGAATTAATACTTTTACTTTATAAATCTAATACTTGATATTTTCAGTCACATTGCTGTAATGTGTTCCTTTACAAATCACTCTTTCACACTATCAATGATTCCTCAATTTCTGTGACCTTGTTTCAGACTAGTAAAACTCTGTAAATATCTAAATTTTCTTCACTGTATTTACTGTTAGATGCTTGATATATATATATATATATATATATATATATATATATATATATATATAAATATAAAAAAAAAAGAAAGAACAGTAAGATATATAATCAAGTGTTCTTATAGATATTTTTTATTTTTATTTTTGCAAAACATTGCTCAATGTAAATTTACAGAGCATAAATATCATAAATTAACTGATTTAAATTATGGTTTTTTTCGCTACACAGTAATAACCATGTTTAAAAAACCGAAGCTAAAAACTTCAAATTTAATTATATAATTACATTAAAAGCATTAGTTCTGTTTCATCTTCAAGCAAATTTTGTCTGATGATCGCAAAAGCATGAAACCCAGGCTCACAAACTCATATCCATACAACTGAATACATTAGCTCTATCACTGATATTGAGTGTTTTCCATTAAGTACTGTGCATATAAAATAATATATATATATTTTTTATTTTCAACATCATCACTTGATAAGACACAGAGTGTGTTGAAACAAAATGGCTATTTTTGTAGTGATTTTATAACATACTTATGTTATAATTTTTTTATAAATAATAATTATATATATATATATATATATATATATATATATAGAAAGAGAGAGGGAGAAAGAGAGATAGAGACTAAGAATTGTGAAAAAAGGCACTTAATATTTATATTTATTTATATGTATTTTTACAGAGAAAAATTAAAATTAAAACTATGTTGCTTACAACTGGATTTTCAGTGTTTACTTTTTGTAGAAAAAAACACTAATAAATATTAGGTGCCTTTTTTCACAATTCTTTTTAGTCTATACAATTACAGAAACATAATAATTTCATTTTTTACACATACACACACACACGTATATATATATATATATATATATATATATATATATATATATATATATATATATATATATATTACATGAATCATTCATACAAAAAAACAGATATAGAAGTTAATGATATAAATGGCGAGAATAGATCATCACAAACAAATTTAATAAATTACATTAACCCTTAACCTGTAGATGAATGTTATGATCCCTGTTTATAAATTCCAGTTGCATAAGGTCTTTTTTCAGTTTTTTACAAGCTTTCATCTGTTCATACAGGCATCATCAGGTATGGAAATAGATTTGTTTTTTACTTCCCGGTAATAACAGGACAATGAAAGAATAGATGTAATCGGAAATATGTTTTTAGAAATGTGTTATTGTTAATTTTAAGAAATATTTGGAGCGTGCAGTTGCAATGCTGAGGTTGAATTTTTAAATTTTAAGATTGTGCGTTTTTGTACTAATATGGTAATAGGAGAATTCTTTTGTTCTGGTAGGTTTTTCAGTCAATGTGGCATGAACTAAATTGTTCAATAAATAGAGGAATGTCACAGTTATTATCCAAAAGTTGCATGTCGGATCAGTTATTTTAATATCAAGTATATATATATATATATATACATATATATATATATACTAGACCACCCACAAACCTGTTTGGTTCTTTTTAAGAGTAGTTCATGATACAAAATGATGAAGTAACAATATTATCAATTCTATGATTAATTACACACATTATGCAATATTAGATCAAACACATTAGAAATTAATAAGCAAAAGTTTACTTTTTTTTAGAATGAAGTCACAAATTGATATGACTTTAAAAGATTTTACATTCAAGTAATAGTAGCACCAGTGTGGCAATTTATACCAATTTTAGTATTTACCATATTACAATTTTCAAAGGTGAAGGTCATTCCAAAACAAACCAAATAGCAATTGTCTGCTTAAGGAAATTCAAATTTATTGAAATAACAAAGTATGAATGACTCCTTTTCATTTACTTAGTTTCATTTTTTTCTAGATGATCTACAAAAAATAATAATTATATTTTTAATTATACATATTTCCTTATTTCTAACATTTATAAAATATGTATAAGTATGAGATTTCTAGTCATTGGTATGTAATATAATCAGCAAAACAATATTACCAAAAACCTCACTTATAAAAAGAACAGGTTTTATTTTACATTAAACAATACACATACGCATATCTTTCCCTAACATGGAGATAATGACTTTCTGCAGTAGACCAGCTGCCATCCAAGGCTATAGAACCTGGTCTGTTCTGCTGTTTACCCATAGCTGGGGGGAGAAGAAGAGAATTCATACCTTTCCCATGGGTATCATCCTGTAAGTGAATCTCAATTCAGTTATGTGCCATGTGTGATACAGGCTTAGGCAATTATATATATTTTGATACATGACTTACAAGACATTTTTTTTTTCTGCAATAGGTTGCCATTTCTTTCTGCGGTAGACCAGTTGCCATCCAAGGCTATAGAACCCGGTCTGTTCTGCTGTTTACCCATAGCTGAGGAGAAGAAAATTCATAGCTTTCCCAAGGATATCATCAGTCCGATTTTAGAATCAATTTTTATTCCGGAATTAATATATATAGTTAGTCAGTTGTGTGCTATGAGTTATACATGGGTAGGCAATTATGTATCTTTCAATACATGGCTAACGAGGCAAAGAAGAGGATCCATACCTTTCCCAAGGGTATTAGCATGTAAGTGAATGTAATGGATTCAACCGGAATTTGAACTTGGCTCTCCAATTTCTCAATCCAAGCTGCTATCCATTACTCCACCATGCCTCCTCATGCCAAAATGCCATTAGGAGGATTAAATATATTCAAAAAGATTTTTGTTTTGTGCAACTGTCATGTAAGTGGGAATCAAAAAATATATCAAAATGGAAGCATTTTTATTGGTTCTAATATTGAAAATAAAAAAAAATAAGCCATATTTTTTTATATACTTTTTAAGAATGACAAATTAACTTTATTTATGTAATTTATAGAGAAGATTTTATCAATGATCAATCATCTCAAAAGTAGTTTGGGAAGTTTTATGTGATAAGAGAATTTTCACTGAACAATCTTTCTCACTCAATCAGATCAATTGAACATGATCAAATTTATACATTTTTTTATGAATTATCAATGTGTTATAGTGGAACACGCCTATTCTATAATTAATAGAATCTCCCACCTATAATAAGTAAGAGTAGTAAGAGTAAGGAGTCGCTCAGTGGGTCGGGCAGTCAGTCAGTTGATGCCGGATGACCGTTAGTCGGATTCTAAAGTATCAGCGACCACAACTAGATTTCTCTGTGTTATTACCTATTATATCAAGTTCCTAACGTTTTGTACGTCGAACCTATTTTAGCACCGACTTAGTACAAATACAAGCCTCCACTGTGAAACCACTCCATAACACACTTGGCAATGAGGGATTCGAATTCATTCGGTGGAAGAAAAAAAAATTTGTTTGCCATAACACACTTGGTGACAAGGTATTCAGATCCATACGGTGGAAGAGAAAAAAAAATTCACCCGCCATAACAAATTTGGTGAAGGGAATTTGGAAGAGGAAAAAATTCATATAATTCGGTGGAAGAAAAAAAAAAAATTGCTTGCCACAACATTTGGTGACAAAATTTGTACTCATACGGAGGAAAAAGAAAAAATTTATTCGTCACAAATATTTTGGCGACAAAATCTTGGATTCACATTTAAAAACTTGGCAAAGTTTTTCGAAAGACAAGGCGTCAACTTAGTGACGAAAAAATCAGTCATATTTTCAACTGAGAAAAGAATTTTTTTTCTCGATTAAACAGTTTGCTCAAATAGGTCACGAATTGCAAATTCATTTAGGACCCCCCTCTATAATATTTAAGCATTGTGTAAACTTTTGCAAAGATGGAGGAATGCAAAAATATATTCCAGGAATTTTTTAAGTTCCAGACAAAACAACAGATGACAATATTAGAGTAACAGAATACATTCCAGATGCAACTACAGGAGGAAACTTTTAATAGACAAATACAGTTTCAACGAGAAATGGAACAGAGGCATAAAGAGTTTCAAAACAAAATTCTGGAAATAACTGAGAAAAGGAAAGAGAAAAATCTACAAAATGATTCTTTCCCAGAGAATACAATATGGAATTCAATTGAAATATTCATGTACAGTCCACATGAAGAGATAACATTTGAGGAGTATTATAAAAAATACACGGACGTGTATAACGAGGACTGCCACTTGTGGTCTGAAGGAAAGAAGGTTAGGCTTCTTTTAAGCAAGTTAAGAACTGCTGAGCATAACAACTACATTTTACCGAAAAAAAACTAGCGAGTTGACATTTACCGAGGCGGTAAATATATTAAGTGAATTATTTAGTAAAAAGACATCTTTGTTTCACAAAAGATGGAAATGTTTGAATCTGATGAAAGATGACGAACAAGACTATATAACGTATGCAGCCAATGTGAATAAGCATTGTGAAGAATTCAAGCTAGCAAAGTTAAGCACTGACAATTTTAAGTGCTTAGTGCTTGTTCAAGGGCTGGTATCGGAAAGAGATGCAGAGTTGAGAAAATTAGTGCTGTCAAAATTAGAAAATGAACCAAGGATTTTGATACAGAAGTTGGCAGAAGACTGCACAAGATATGTTAGCGTAAAGAAAGATTCAAAAAAGATAGAACAGTCTGGCGTTTCGCATGTAAGGAAAATACAGTACAAAAAAGAAAGTCAGTCTACCAAAAAGAATTCTAAAATTGCGGATTATCAAACAAAAAGTGAAATACCAGAGAAAAATAAACAAAAACTCCCAAAGCCATGTTTTGCTTGTGGTGAACTTCACTGGTACAGATATTGCAATTTTAGAATTAAAAAATGTTTCAACTGTAAAAAAGTTGATCATAAAAGCTCGCACTGCAGGTCAAAAAATAAAGACAATAAAATAAGAAAATTAAAGTCCGACAAGGTGAATGATGGAATAACCAGAAAATTTGTTAGAAAACACTCAGTTGTGGAAAGCTAAGGAATAATAATTCAACCTTTAGAAAGCTATTTATGTTGCCATGGAATCTCATAATGTGCTAAAGTGGATAGTCCATTGCTTAAAAATGGAATTTCTATATAAATACCAGTTTGATTCATCTGTTAGTTTGCAGGGTTTGTATTAAGTTACAACCTGCTTTATTTTTGTTCATGGATGCATAATTTGGATATTCTACATAAGGAACTCGACACTGGTTCTGACCTATCTATCATAAATTTGAAGACAAAAATAAAAATGAAGACAAATAAAAATCACGAGGTCATTGACGGGAGAAAAAATACAATTTATTGGAGAATTTGTTACAAACGTCACATTAAATAAAAAAAACGCAAAAAGCAAAACTTTTTGTCATAGAAAATACCATGAACTTACTTGGTACAAATTGGATAACAGAATTTCAATTATGGGATCTACCAATAAATTCTTTCTGTTACAAGGTTGAAAATTTAAACTCAGAAGCCCAAAAAATTAGTAAAGGAAACTTAAGGAAACATTTCCTACTGTTTTTTTCTCCAGGTTTGGGAACGTGTACCAAGATGGAGGCAAAATTCCAACTAAAAGAAAATGCTCAGGCGGTATTCAAAAAGAAAAGGAATGTGCTGTTTGCTTCAATTGAACAGATAGATAAAGAATTGGATAGATTAGAGAAAACCGGTGTATTTAAAAAAGTTGAGTATAGTGAATGGGTAACACTGACGATATACGTGAAAAACAAGCTCCAGAAAGTAAAGATGAAGCCGACACAGAGAAAAACTGGGGAGCGAGTTACCCGCAGCCAAGGACATGCAGTATTATTAAATGATTTAAGTCAACTGAAGTCACCACAGAAAACGTTCAGAAGCACAAGATCAACAAAAGGGAAGCTAGAGGCTGAACAAATAGAACCACAAGAAGAACCTACAGAAACTGTGACTCCATCCTTAAGAAGCTCAAAGTGGAAGGTTGTTTCTGGTAACATTATGGAGGTACCAAAAAATATAAAAACGGATAGGCTATATGATGTATTTGGTGAAAGGTGAAAAATTCACGTGCAGTAACCAGATCAGACAACGTTTTTCAGACATGGGTGACAGCGGTCCCATGGAAGAAACGCTGATGGAGGGGATTTTCAATACGTTTGATCTAACAATGCCTGCAACAATTTTACCTGAGGTACGCCAATCCAGGAGAAAAAAGAAAGGCAACTGGTCATTTAAAAGTGGATCAAAAAAAAAAAAAAAACAGGAGATCTGCTACAATGTTGCTTAAAAAAAAAAAAAGAATTTTTTTTTGTTTTTTCTTCATATTTCCTGTAAAAAATGAAAAATAAAGAAAACTGTTTACTCCTACAGAGTAAAGTTTTAGGGGGGAGATGTTATAGTGGAACACACCTATTCTATAGTTAATAGACTCTCCCACCTATAATAAGTAGGAGTAGTATGGGTAAGGAGTCGCTCAGTGGGTCGGTCAGTCAGTCAATTGATGCCAGACGACTGTTAGTCGGATACTAAAGTATTAGCAACCACAACTAGATTTCTCTGTGTTATTACCTATTATATCAAGTTCCTAACATTTTGTACGTCGAACCTATTTTAGGACCGACTTAGTACAAATACAAGCCTCCACTGTGAAACCACTCCATAACACAATGTTAACAACACTAGAGGTAAGAAAGCCACTCAAAAATATCAAATCAATCATCTCTGGTGTAATCAAAACACTTTCAGCACAATACAACACATTGTTGCAGCCACTGCTGAACAACTGGTAAAAAAATAATCAAATCAATGATGAGTAAATAAAAATTTGACACACTTGTCATAGTTTCATAATCTAATCATCTCTATTTAGACTTCTGAACTAGTAATGTTTTTAACCAAGACTAGTAGTTTGTATTCAAGCCTACTTCAAGGCCAGCATTTCAGATGCTGATTTTAAAGGTATACATGCTCTTGCCACATGAAAAATAGGTGCACCAACCAATTTCACTTACATCCAACTAAACTTTGTAAATATCAATATCTTTTAATGATAATTCAAAAAGAAAAAAAACTACTTACTCTTCTGTTTGTAAAATTGGAGAAACTTTTTACCATGATTTCTCCAATAATTTCAGGATCGTTGATAACAAAAAAGGCTCAGTTCCAAAAAAGATTCTGCAAGAAAATTAATCTACTCATTTATAATTGCATTTCAAATAAAGAATTCAATTTTTTGAAACTGTTCCAATATTTAGGCATTTAAAAAAAATCTTATTTTTTTCTCACAATAGAAAATTGATAATTAAATAATAATTAAATCGATTTGTTCTCAAACTTTTAAGAAACTATAATGATTAAATAATGACAAAATAAGAATTACTTTTGCAAATAATAATTAATAATCACATTTCCAATGTCTTAAAATGCTAATCTTATAGACATTATCAGTTAACTCTTTGCAAGTTTGCATGGAGAAAATCACTTACCCATAAACATCACCAAATTGTTTCTTCCAGTCAAAAAATATATTGACAAAACCCTGTAATTAAAAAAAGAGAGAAATTTAAATAATTGTAATGTACAAATCATCTTCCCCACCACCAACAAAAAAAATGGAATTAAAAGTTGCCTGAATGTTTTTCACAAATAATGACAAAAATGTTTCAAATAAAAATTTACACAAAATTTAAATTAACTAAAATTGCCTATTTCAGAAAAACTATTGAAGTATTATATTATTATAATAAAATTGTTATTTTTAGCAAGTGTTTCAAACTATTTTTATTCCTTATTGAATGACTCCACTGCCTTAACAGGGTATTGAACTCACACTCTTTGGGTTCTGTCACTGGATCTAACCAACACCTTTATCCACAGTGACAGGACCCAAAGAGTGTGAGTTCAATACCTGGTTAAGGCAGTAGAGAACTTTCAGAGGGAAATTAACAGGAGATAACTTATAACTGACATCCATTAAAACATGGCACATGGAACGAGAACAGTCTACCCCAGTGAGCGAAATAAAGGGTTCAGTTCGACATTCCAACCACCTGAAGAAGGCCGGCGCATACAACGACTGAAATGTTGTAATAAATATCGCGACAAAGATGAGGACAATAATCCAAATAATGTAAATAATGTAAATTTAGTTTATTATTGCATTTTGCTTTACTTAGTGTAGTACAAGTTATTCCCAAGCATCAACCAGAGATTTCAAGCAACGCAGACGGTAGAAACAGATAAAGTACCATACAGACAGTCATGTGATGAAAGAGAAATATGGATGAAAGGTTTATTCTCCCATTTGTACTTTTATGAGCATTATTATATCTGTGATATAATAAAACCATAATTCACAGACAGGACGGAATGGCTGAAACAAAAAAGAATGACAATGACAAAATATGCCAAATTGTAGCTAATAACTGATTGATACTCACATAAGAAAATCTAGACACCTTTTTCAATTTGATTATTCTGACATAAAACGTGATTTTAGCTGTGTCTTTAAAACCGGTATATTTATAAATATAAATATATATGAAGATATATATTAATTTAATTACGAAAAATTAAATTCGGATGTTTATTTTTTGAAACATGGTTGAACTGTGTAAAAAAAACATATTTTAAATCAATTTTTATATATATATATATGAAGGATTTTTCAATAACTTGGACCATTTTGAATGAATTTTTTTATTTTCATGATTTTTTTTAACAATTTAAGTCTTTGGCAATTTCTACCATGGAAAGATTAACAATCAAGCAACATGTTAAAGTTTCAAGAGCAGAATTGAAAAAATTGTTTGTAAATTCAAACAAACTGGGTCGGTGGCAGATGTGAAAACACCACTGTGTGCTTGTTTACGCCATTCCGCTTAAAACATTACTGCTGTGCACGAGAATGTGGCTGAAAGTCCAGACACATCTATTCATTATTTTGTGCAGAAATTGAACCTCTCCACAACAATGTTACATGGTTTCCAATTGCACTCTTGGTTGGTCGATTATGTTGACCAAAAAATTGCAAAGTACATGAAATGCATTTCTGTTTGAACGTCTATTTTCATAATAGGCTTTGATAACTTTAACACATTGTTTGATTGTTAATCTTTCCATGGTAGAAATTGGTAAAAACTTAAGTTGTTAAATCTGAAAGAAAAAGAAAAAAATCATTAGACACTTAAACTTAATTAACATTTAAAATCGATCCAGCTTATTGGAACACCCTTTACATATATACACATGTCCACGCAGAGAATAATATATACTATATATCTACACAGCAAAGCAGAGTGTAAAGAGAAACAAAAAGGAAAGGTCTTACATACAATATGGAGATACTCCTGTGTCTGAAGAAGCCATGTTTAGGACTCCAGATTCAAACAGGTTGGATTCATCTATATCTCAGACAATGACATATTCCACAAACGGAAACACAGAGTCTTGCGTTTTCCTAAATTGAGGATTGCAAGTTATAGTTTCTTTCTATATTTGGGAAAGATGTATTCCCAAAGTAAAATGGCACCATTAGCTGCTAGGGAGGCAGATCTAGCCTCAGCCTGAGCTAAGAGGTGTCAAAGCTAAAAGAAAGCAACTTCATATGGTGACTGCTGTAAACAAACTGAAAATTGACTGCCACTTAAGTAACTATATGATATGATGTCACTAAGCAGTCCATCACATGACTAATGTAATCTATCTCCATGAAAAAAAGATAAGTGCCTTCTGTATTTCTGCAGGTATGAACAAATATGAAATTGTGGTCATTGTATGGAGAGAAATGTGCACAAAATGCTCGATGTACCAACAAATATGATTTTTGCAATTCACACATTTTAGGTCTACCAGAATTATGAATATATTTTTATCATAAAAGAAATTTCTCTCTTTATCCGTGTGACACATGCAAAGACTGATCCTGAACTTTTCATCAAGCTCTACCAAAATTAATTTCATTTTTTTTTTCTTTCATCAGCATGTGATTCCCTTAAAAATAGTCTGTGATATCACAGGTAGGCCTTATTGTCAGAAGGTGACTAATACACTTAAATGATCCCATTACATAGTGTAAGAATATTTATATGATAAATGTGCTATACGAATTTCATCTTCTAGTGTCTGTTGCCCACCTTGCTAAAAAAGATTTCAGTCAGATCAGATTTATGGAATGGCTCTCAGTGTCTCCATATATTAATCCAATAAAAAATTTAATATCTGTCATTAAAAAATATTTATATAAAAATGGAAAATGACATTCAATTAAAGAAGCTATCTGGGAAGCAATAAAAATTTCTGCAAGTAATGTTAAATTTGAAATAGTCTTCTTCTATGTACTTTTTACTATTTTCCTTCAGGACTTTGGCGATCATGTCACTCCACAACTTCCTGTCCTTTGTATCTCTTCGTAAATTTTGAATTTTTGTCATTTCTCCTAAAACTTGTTCAGCTATTCATTTGCATAAGCTCATTAGACAAGTTATTCATTGTTTTCCTCTATCTCTCTAGCCATTAATATATCCTGTGTGTGTCAGATTTTCCAAGTCTTCTTTTCTAGGAATTCCAACTATCTTTTTTTTGAGGTTAAAGAAAAGTGTAATTTTTTGTTTACATTTTTCCTAAAATTTTGTCATTGTTTACATGTGCAGTCCATGTCAGTGTTATTCTCAGCATCTTTCTGCAGAACAACATTTCTGTCACTTCAAGTCGCTTCATCTTCATCTGCCGTATAGGAGGACTGATATTATGCAACAATTCGAAAAGCTAAAATTGCAATGTATAAAAAACTGATGATGGTTACAGAATGTAAGAAAACCATATTAGTCTGTATTTCTGAGATGAGGTATTATGTACATTATTTACATTATTCAGACTATTGTCCTCATCTTTGTCGCCATATTTATTACGTTTCGGCTGTTGTATGCTCCACTGTGTTTATCCACTGTGCCATCTGTCCTTGAGGACACATGACACAGTTGATGAAGGCGTTAGTTAGATCCAGTGACAGGACCCAAAGAGTGTGAGTTGTATACCCGGTTAAGGCAATGGAGAACTTTCAGAGGAAAATTAACAGGAGATAACTGATAACTGACATCCATTAAACATGGCACGTGGAATTAGAAGAGTCTACCCCAGTGAGCAAAATAAAGGGTTCAGTTCGACAGTCCAATCACCTGAAGAAGGCCAGAGCGTACAACGGTCGAAACGTTGTAATAAATATGGTGACAAAGATGAGGACAATAGTCCGAATAATTTAAATAAAACCATATTAACATTTAAAATACTAAGAATAAATTTAATAATAAATAATAAGAATTTATTCAGTTAGATGGAATGCAGTCTTAATCAAATAGATGTTTTTTGTAGCTTCTTTTATAAATAAAAGAATATGTTACACTTTGCATAATTGTTGTAGCATACCTATGGACGATAATGGGTATATCCCCATTCACATAAATAAAGTAGTAAATACTGTATGTTGGTCTGCAATTGGAGATTCATTGTGGAATTCACATGACTCACTACTAGCAATTGACTACCTCTTCTACATGCTGCTGGCAAATCTTATATGTGTTGTTCTTGTCCTAAGTATTATCGTTCATTACCAACCTTCGTTTGATTATTCTATTCAGTAACCTTCCCTAGGTTACAACAGTAATAAAATCTGAATCTTTGAAAATAAGTTATTATCATTAATTTTAATGAGGATAGACACTATGAACTGAAACTGAAACAATACATTGCTTATAAAATTATCAATACATCATGATTATTTTAACAAAATCTATTGGCAAATGAGTTTTGTTATGAAACCATTGACAAAAGAAATAAAATAAAATCTAGGCTTCAGGCTTCAGACTTATTCTTAAACTTTTGTAAGCTTTTTGTCATCTTTTTTATCATATTTTCTCGTATAAACATAATTTCCAATTGACACATCAAGAGCCAACAACCAGATGGGGTTATTAATCTATCATATAAGTCTACCATTCATCCTTTTATTAAATATTGCTGCCATATTTGGTCTGGGGCTTCTATATATTTAGTGATTTTTGATAAAATCCAAAGAAGAATCTATTTTATTTTTTACAATCATTTCACCCCAAACAAGCCAATAGAGCCACTAAGACACCAGGTGTTGGTGAGTGTTAGAGAATATGAGAAAATATACTATTATGAAGAGATGACAGTAAAAAACCGGAATTAAGCATTTAAATTTTTGAAGATTAAAGTTGACTGGCAAGCAAGAATCTGGAAATGAGTTGAACAAGCGAGAAGTGAAAAAGAAAAAACTGTTAACATAGAATTTACCATTACATCTTCACTCAAACCGTGCAAGTGAATCGTTTAAATAAGCAAGTGAATATATATGAGAAACAGGATTCGTGCGTTTTGATTTCTGACCATGGCATTAATTTTTACCTTTCATTTCTGTGTGAACATGCAATAGACCTTTTCCTGTTTTTGTGCGCACCAATACAAATGAGAATAGAGATGCAATGTAGGCTGATGTGCCTGGTCAGTGAAAAGTTGAGAGATGGCTACAATGTTTAAGTATAGATATGTCAACGTTTGGATGTCTTTAACATACAGTCATCCACTCTGCATCTAAAAGACAAAAAACTATCAGAAGATACATAACAAGTACATTCAGTTATTTAAGAATTTGAAAATTGCATCCAATTTTTTTTTTTTTATTTCTGATACTTACTGCCTGACTCATTTGTTTAAGATTTCCAAGATAAACCATCGGCTTTGGACCTTTAAATTGATGTTCAGCAAAGAAGCCAAAAGTTCTTCTTCCAAAGCTGGATAATAAAAAAAATAGATGGTTTCAATAAAATACACTTTTTTTTAATGTAAATATGATCAGATTCCAGATAGAAACCTATTAAAAGAGAAATTCTTTTAAAAAATTGGCATTGAATATATTATTTGAATTGAAGTCTATGGAATAAGTGTGACAACAGATTGGTGGAAGGTTTGGGGAGGGAAGATTTGGTTTTCTCAAAATATTGAACATATCCACAAAGGAAAAGGAAAAAAACAGAAAGCAAATAAAAAGCAATAAAACAATTTTATATGCGCAATTACTAATGTGGTTTTACAAAGAACGTATTGAATCAAGGAAGGTAGGCTTTTCGTACTACCAGAAATAAACTAGACAAGGGAAGATCTTTTTCTTGGTTTCAATTAAAAATTTTGATATGTTTTCTCCTATTTATAATAAAAGCATGTATAGTGATATCAGTCAACTGAGATCTTATTAAATGGAAAACAGCTGAACCTTCCATGGAAAATGGATTGGGAACATTTTTTTCCCATGTTGGATATCAGTATCATGAAGTGGGTTTCATAAATATGGAGCAAGTGACCCAGACAAAGAGAAGTCACTAAATGAAGATAAATGACTTTTTTAGAAAAAGATGGCAAGACAAAGAACCATTTTATCTATAAAACCTTTTTGCCTGCAATGGAGCTAGAGACTGTCTATGGTTTTCATTCATGGATAACAAAATCTGGCTGAAAGGTTATTTTTAAGCCATAAACTTTTGATTGGAATAAACTACACCCTGTCAATGAACCTGATGTGTCATCTGAACTGCAACACAACACATAGATTCAATAGTAGATACAATGATCTGCATAAATATTTAACAGAAATATGTTAGAGTGTGTTAATTAAAAAATTACATGATTTAATTAGGTTACATATGAATTGATGTTTTCATCTGATTTCAAGTCTCTTTCAAAAAGACATAACATTTATAAATGTTTGTTAAATTTGGCTATGACTGCATTCAGATTGTCTTTTCTTTTTGTTGCAGCAAACTGAAATCCATTATATATTGTCAATATATTTTGGCCAAGTGTAAGAAGAAATAATGGTAATACAGGATAAGATTGTTTCCACCCACTGTCTATGTCCAGGGATATCTTGCGTAGTTCTTATTTACTACTGCTCAGTTATTGCTTGCCCCATTTCCACTGAATCCAAGTGAACACTGCCTGACCCTGGAATTGAATTCATAATTAATTTCCCCAAATTCATGAACTACTAGGTTTCTGCAGGACAATTCTGAGTGGAGAACTTGGAGCTTTAAACCTAACCTGCCTGCTGATGAGTGGGAATATTTTTTGTGGGCTCCATTTCACCTGCACTTTTTGATATCTCAAGTGTAGTTTTTAATTTGGGGATATTTTCGATGTCTTTTTACATTTATACATTGATTTTATTTTTTAATCCGTCATATTTTTATTACTTCAAACATTATTTTTAGTGGATACCTATATTTGAGTAGACAATCAATTTATTTACATTTTATTTAAAAAAGTATTTATTTTGTCTACTGGCCTGCACACTCAAGGAAACTTATTACCGAAAATGTGCTCTCTGGCATAATTTGAACTTATGTCCCTCTTTGCAGGAGAAACCACTGTCTGATTTGGTGTGCTTTAACCACTCATCTACTGACAAGCACTATGTCACCAAATTCACAAACCAACACTTTGTGTACAGTAGAGGGCATTCTGTTTATGTCTCTTGCATCGCTTTCTCTTTTTGCTACACACCACAATCGTTGTCTACAGAATTACTACTACAAGCAATGTAGCCATTTATATAGTAAGCGGCAGGTCTTGATACATTTGCATAGATGTGATGTCCACACGCGCACCTTTAGGCCTCAAGCCAGATTTCCTGTTACAGCTGCAGAAACTCAAATACGTTTCGTACTAGGAAAGCCATGCACTACATTACTACACACTTTTATCTACTAGGCTATTGTCCCATAGGACAAATTGCTGGAGTAAACTTAGAGCTTTAAACTTAACCTAGCTGCTGATTAAGTTGCCACTGCCACTGCTGGATGTCATGTTTTGACAACTGCTGCTGTTGAAGATTTGCTGTCATCTGTCTTTCTTTCTTTATCGATAGTTCTCATATTATATTTATTTCTATGCTGAGCCTACTGACAAGATCCTCATAGCCCAGCATATGCACTGATTCTTTTAGACATCTAAATCTCCAGTGTTCCTCCCTGTCCAGTATTTTCACTTCATTCCACTTAGGTTGATGACCACGCATTTCCCTCTATGCATGATCAGCCATGCCCATTTTCATTGTTTCACCTCTCACTATGGCTTTTCAATGTTCCTTCAGCTTTACTTTTAAGGGGCAGCTTGTTTCACTTTTATATTCTCTAACACCAATACAAGTCATCAAGTACATGCAATTCTTGGTCATATTTTCCCCATGTTAGGCTTTATTCAGTAGAGATTCTTCCATAGAGTGGAACTACTTCTGAATATTGTTCTGATGTTGTATGAACTGTAGATCTCCTGAATCTTTTTTAATAAACCCTTGACGTAAGGTAGATAGATTGTGGTAATTTTCTCTATAGGTTACCCAGATCACTATACACCTGAGGAAGGCCAGCAGACACAACAGCCGAAACAGTGAGATAAAAACAACAAAAATAAGGACAATAGTCTGATTATAAAGAATGTACTGTAAACTTTCTTTCCCTATGAAAATATTTTATTTTAGTATGGATTCTTTAACCTAGGCTATTATTTTTCAAATAAAATCAAAATATGACTTTGTAGCAATCATCATCGCTATCACACACACATACAGATCATACGGCAAGCATTCATTGGCTAATCTCCTCAAAACTAGCTTGCTGATTGGTCGGAATTGACCAATCAAATCGCCTGCACGCGAGGAATAAGATTTCCCGCACACAAGGCTGGGAGCCTGTCACGTGAGACACAACCTTATATAAACAAAATACAAATAAGCCTCTCTCGGGTTCTCTTTATCCATTTTTTTTTCCTTGCTGCCAAGATGTAGTCTTCAAGAGCTCCCGTCTTAACCATGTGTTCAGACGTTAAAGAACATTGCCAACAACTCTTACCGACCTTTTCACAAGTTGCCAGTAGAGTCCAGGAAATTTCACCTGTCAACACAAACCTATGACTTTACTCACAACATTTCAAACGCACACACGAACACAGTATTTTGTAATACATACATATCTCTCTGTGACTCAGCCAAGTTCAATCAACCAGGACTCTGTTAATTTTCTCTGACACAACACACTTTCTATTCAATTGTATTCTTGTGTTATCTATTCTGACAAACAGTCCTTTGTCCTAATATTGATTCCTGAATATTTTTCTCTCACGAGAACTTTCCTTCGAACAATCAAATACAAATCAAAATACAGTAAAAGGGAAGCAACTTCTGCCCACAATATTATTGTATATTTCATTCATGTATGTTATTTTATATACTTGTTGATTCACATTTGGAGTTTCGTTGTTGTCTTGAATCATTTATTATACAAAAGTTATACACAGACCAAAGAACACGCAGCCCCATAACAACTTCAAAGACATAAAATGCATATTTAAATTTTGTCATTTTTTTTTTCCTTTTTTTTTTTTTTTAATAAAATCCGAGGCAACCCCACACAAGAATTAGGTCAACTCCCATGGCTGCCCTTACACTCAGCTGCTATCCTGACGATCAGACACTGAAATGGACGTTCCACTCATCTTCGATTATCTCTAACAATAAACGTCATTGAAAATGTAATACTTGTTATTCCTTTCTCTCGATAACAAACACTTTCTTAACATATTCATCACAGAATTATCGTCTGCATCAAAGTTATGCTGGTTAAAATGGGAATATTCAAAATGGATGCGTTTTTTTTCTGAAATGAAAGCAAAACAAATGCATACTATTTTTTTTTTTAATTCAGAGAATTATCTGATTTCGGTGGAATTTTCACTACATATTCATTAATAAATGAATTGTATACTGAATATGCTATTTTATTACAAAACTTTGCGGAAATATTTTGGCAGGGGTCAGTTTGAAACCCGACCCTTTTCGTTTTTGACATCGCGTGTATTTTTTAGCACCAAACAAAAAAACTGATGCTTTTTTTGCTTTCGAAATAAAGGGAAGAATTGCTACCCCGTTTAAAAAGTTTGAAAAATTCAGAGAATAATCCAATTCAAACTAAATTTTCAGTCCTTATTCATTAATGAATGAATTGTAGGTTATTTTATGAGAAAGCTTTGTAGAAATAGGGCGTCTGTTTCGTCTGTTTCGTCTGTTTCGAGATGTCGTGTGTACAGTAAAGAAAATCTGTAATATTAAATCGCTTAATTTTGCATATTTTTTAAATTCAAGTGTGAATACGCGGGAAATTTGTCTGGAACTTTACTAAAAATAATTCAATAATAAAACTCAAAAAATAATTTTTCAGACTGTTGCTGCTTGTGCAAAAAAAATGTAACTTCAACATTTCGATGGATTACACCTAAGTTTTCTTAAGTTTGTCATTTAACTACGTCCTGATTGGACAATAAATATGAAAATTGTATCTTCTGTATCTTCACGTGCAAAGTTCTAAAATATTGTGCAAGCAAAACATATATAAGCTCCAAATCAAGTTTCAATAACTGATATATTCTGATTGGTCCATTAATACCAAAGTCATTTACGACTACGCACAAGTGTTCAAACCAGAGAACATGTTCTCAAGCCTATCACGTGATTAACAAGTAAATAAATATGATACATTTAACACATTCGAGCACAGCAACGCAATCGCCTATTAAAAGCTACGTCACACATTCTGAGGCTAAAATTACCCATTTTAACATAATCTCAGCCTTCCAGAACATTCACTCACTCAAGTCGTTCACAAAACAGCTTTCGTTCATTCCTGCAAGGGAATTAGCATAACCGCAGAACATTATTATTGCATAACAAAAGTTCTCAATTACAGAACATTTTCATCTAGAATTTATTTACTTCTTGACAACATTACGGTCAAAGAAAGACAACTCTAAAACAACTAATTTACATTGGAAATTTATAAACACTGTTTAATTACCTCATAAACAGAATTATTCTTTCACTAACTCTGTGAAACTTATATCACCGCAACTACAACAAATAGTTCTTCAAATAAACTCACATACCATAACGCCAAATGCCAAAATAAGAGTTTTTACACACATAATTAAAATAACAAACACCATCAAGATTTCACTCGCAAAAATCTTTTTTTTACTCATTTTTTTAGCATAATGCATTGTATCTTTTTTTATGCTATATAAATCAAAATATTGTTTGTTATTCAAAAACTGATTTTTGTATGAATTCTCTTGTCGTTTATTGTTTCTTGGCACATTTGTTGAAAGTAAAAATAGTAGGGATTGAATTTTGGATTTTCAATTCCCTACACTTGCAGGATAGGTTGTTCTCTTTCAGATTGCACAGAAAAAAAAAAAAAAAAAGGTTTTTAATAAAGAAAGACATATTTAGAAAAATCGAAAAATATTTCTATGATCATGAATTTGCCAAAAAATGGCATACTATGATAAAAATTCAGCATTTAAAACTTCATGAAAACTAAGTTTTATCGTCAAACAAAATCTTTACGCTATTATTAAGAAGAGGAAAGACCAATTTTTTAATGAAGATTATTTTAGTAAATTTTTTCATCCTTTTTAGAACAAACCAAATTTTGATTAAAAATCTTAGAATAAAAAACTGTTTTTATTAAAACAGCCAATTTTAACATCTTTTTGCGATGGCGGACATTAATTTGGATATTCTTGCATAAAAGAAATTAGAGAAGCTTTTAATTGTTTTTAAAGACAATATGGGCACTTCGAAGCTTGTCTCGCTATAACAATTTACGACTGAGTAGTGAGTTCGATCCTCACTGGGTGCCTCCTACTTTCGGACTTGTGTCGCATCTAAGCTATGTTTAGAAAATCATTCTACTACACAGACAATAGTAGTCTGAAGAAAAAAAAAATTTCGACGAAAAATGAATTTTTATAAGATTTGTTTTCATTATTTTAATAAATTGAATAATTTTTTTTTAAATCTTTTAAAATTTATTTTCAACGAGATAATTCTAAGGAAATATTGTTATTAAGTAAAAAACAAAAAACAAACTATATTTTTACTAATCATATTGTAAAGGAATAAGTCCTGAAAATTTCAATTGAATCAGATAATTCCCTAATTTTTTTTGGCAAATATTTTAAAACAGGTGTCGACTTTTTGCGTTCATTGCGGGAAAAAGTATCTATTTTTGGGGGTTGGTGGTTCAGATTATTTAATTTAAAACATAATTTGCTTTATTTCAAACAGAATTTAAAGTGACTGGAATCTTTTTTTCTCCTTATCAGTAAAAAAAAAAAAATTATGTATCTCCACTTGCTAGCTAAAAAACAGCAGCATGATGAAAAAAAAAAGCCACAAACTTAAAAACTAAGTTTTTTAAGTTTTATCACTTATAACAACTATGGCTTAAAAAAAAAGAAGATAAACGCATTTTCAATAATTTATTTTAAATAAAATGTTAAATTTTGGGTTTATTAAAAAAGCTGTGAAAAGCTAATCTTTAATTTAAAGAAAAACTAATTTCCGTATGTAAATCAAATTTGTAGGGCTTTTTAAAACAATGGCTATGGGATTTTTAAGGATGTTTTTTTTTAGTTTGTTGGTGTAGTTAGTTCACATAGAAACAATTAAAAAAGAAGCAACAAACACTTGGATTTCTTTTCTACTACAGACCTTCATTTTTTCAAACTGTAGGGAAACAAAGTTTCAATGTTTTAATAACGACTGCCCTTAATTCCTTAATATTTCATCCCATACATAATTTTTTTATCGCAACCCAAACAAGATGAATTTTCGATTTTTAAATTTAACTGTTTTTTATATTTTTTAACTTATCTTTTTTTTTCTGTTTTGATTTCGTGCAAAATTTCGATTTTGAAAAAAGAGTCACTAAGCAAATGACATTCATTAGTAGTTGTTTTACATTATTTTTAGTCAATTTTTACTTGCGCCCTGAAAAATGTTGGTGTCACTTTTTTTTATCTTTGTTGACACTTTTCTGGCGGGGGTTGACTAAAAATTCGATTAATTTAGAAATTTGTCACTTTTTGGTGGACACGTGTATTTCAGGTTTGAAATGATTCACAAGTCAACAAAAAAGTAATATCTCAAGTGATTTTTTTTTCAGTTTCATAAAGTCACTTAGTTACTAAGAAACTGAAAGGAAAATTCATCCATAATCGATTATGTGTCATTTCTTGTATTGTAAGTAAAAGTAGTAGTAGTAGTAGTAGTATTTTATTTTTTAGTTCAGTTAGTCTTAGGTCACACATTTTAGCCTAAATAATTTAAGATTTCGTAGCGCCACTCTAACAACATCACGTGAGATATCACTTTTTTCTGACTTTGAGTAAAAAAATTCAAACCTGAAAAATATAAGTGTCCACCAAACAAAATTGACAAATTTCCAATTTAATCAATTTTTTTTTCAGTTCTCTAAATTCCGTAACTTTATTTTGTAAGCAGAAATTAACAAATGCAAATAAATAAATAAACATAACATTTGATTCTAATATCCTGATTTAAATGAAAAACAACTTTGACTAACAACTGATTTGAAAATGAGAAAAAAATAAAGGACCATTTGAATGGGTGGGGAAGTTTTATGAGAGAAAAATACGAAATTATCGATTTCGTAGGGACTGTCAAACGAAAAAAAAAAATCCGACGTAAGTATATGGAGTAGTGTGTAGAATTAATAATAAGCTTTTAACTTACAAATAAAGGCTGATTAGAATGGCCAATGTGACAAACAAAAAGTTGGGAACGTAGAAAACTCCAAATAAATCCATAACTGCATCAACAAGGAAGGACAGTTTTTTTGTTTTTCTTCTGTGTCCTGACAAGTGTCTCTCTTCGTTTTAATTTAACAGCTGAAAGAAGAACAAATTCACCCGTAGTTTCGTGTCCATAAAGAAATACATAAAGAAAAATGTCGGTGTTGTGTACATAAAAATTAATTATAATGTTAAAAATAATCATAATGAAATACTTAAGAATTGTAACTATCATTTAATTCACTCTTTCTAACTAAATCAATAAAAATCGACCTGATCTTTCTCCTCCACACCCACAAACATATGACAATCTCACTATCGGACAAGGAATTCACACGGACAGGTCGTTTACACGCGCGTCAACGAAAATTTCATTTCCTTTTTTCAAGCCATAATAGTAACATTTATCTTTTAGCACTCAACAAAAATTTGAGGTAAGAAAACCCCAGACATTCTTGTATTTTCGAACTAAATTATCTGGACACTCTCTACGCACATCTATTAAAAACACTTTGTCAGAGATAAACATAAAACTAAATGTGCCTGTGTGTGTGCGTGTGTGTATTTATCAAACACAAAAAACAATAACAATATCCACTGTTGATAGAATTCTCAAATCAGTATAACCTGCTAAACACTACAGTACACATTGTACATTTGAAATGAAAAGTGTATACTTTCTCATCCTTACTGCCGAAAAAATAACGTTTCTATGTCATCAGGTCATTTAGCAATATTGGGATTGCAGAGGAAATTCGCAGTATTACCAAAGACTTGTTTTTTTGTTTTTTAAATCATTAAATGATTTAAATGTATTCTTTGAAGTTAAATTTTGGTTTTACTTTTATTTGAATGGTAAATAGCAAGCCTAAAGATAATCCACAAAAGAATAATAAGAGCGAGCATAACGATAATCCACAAAAAATTAATAGCCAGCAAGAAGATAATCTGCAAAAAATAATAATAGCGAGTCCAAAGATAATCCGCAAACAATAATAATAGTGAGCCTAAAGATAATCCACAAAAAAAATAAAAATTAAAAAATAAGAGCGAGCCTAAAGATAATCCACAAGAAATAATAAGGCTTGCTATTATTATTTTGATGGGCTATCTTCAGGCTCGTATTATTTTTTTACGGATTATCTTTAGGCTCACTATTATTTTCTCTTCGCGGATTATCTTTAGACTCACTATTATTATTATTATTTTTTTTTTTTTTTTTGGGATTAATTTATGTCAGCTATTTTTTTTTTTGCGCATTATCTTTAGGCTTGCTATTATTATTTTTATGGACTATCTTCAGGTTCGTATTATTTTTTTATGGATTATCTTTGGGCTCACTATTATTTTCTCTTTTTATTATTTTTAGACTCACTATTATTATTATTATTTTTTTTTTTTTTTTCGGATTAATTTAGGTCCTGCTTTTTTTTTTTGCATTATCTTTAGGCTTGCTATTATTATTTTTATGGACTATCTTCAGGTTCGTATTATTTTTTTATGGATTATCTTTAGGCTCACTATTATATTTGGCGGCTTATTTTGAGGCTCGCTTTTATTATTTTTTTGCGGATTAACTTGAGACTCGCTATTATTTTCTTTTGGGTTATCTCGCTGTTATAATTTTTATGGACTATCTACAAACTTGTATTATTTTTTTTTACGGATTATCTCTAGGCTCACTATTAATTTTTGTGGATTAGGCTCACTCTTACTTTTTTAGTGGATTACTTGGGTAGTTACTATTATTTTGGGCGGATTATCTTTAGGCTAGCTATATTTCTTTTTTGACGGATTATCTCTAGGCTCGCTATTATTTGCTTTAGGTGGATTATCTTTAAGCTCACTCCTATTTTTTTGTGGATTATCGACTCGCCACTATCATTTTTTGCGGATTAACTTTAGGGTCACTATTATTATTTTTTGGCAGATATTATTTTTTTGGTGGATTATCTTTAAGCTCGGTATTATTTTCTTTTAGTGGATTATCATTAGGCTCGCTATTATTAATTTTTGCGGATTATCTTTATGCTCGCTCTTATTATTTTTTGCGGATTATCTTTAGGCTTGCTATTATTTTCTTTTTGGTTATCTTTAGGCTCACTATTATTATTTTTTATGCACTATCTTCAGGCTCGTATTATTTTTTACGGATTTGTGGTTTATCTTTAGACTCGTTTTTATATTTTTGGTGGATTATCTTTAAGCTCGTTACTATTATTTTTTCGGATTATCTTTAGGCTCGCTATTATTTTTGGCGGATTATTTTTAGGCTTGATATTATTATATTTTTTAATCTGCCAAAAAAATAATACCGAGTCTAAAGTTCTGTTAACCCGCAAAAAATAATAATAGCGAACCTAGAGATTATCCCCCCAAAATGATATTAGTAAACCTAAAGATAATCTGCAAAAAAAAAAAAAAAATATAGAAAAATTAATTTTCCTGTCTGTTTATATTTCTGAAATGATGTTGTAGCATCCCGCTAACACTTTCTTATCAATGTTGAATTTTGTACATTTTTGTGCAAAAAGTGGATCAGAGAGCCTACTCGGCTTAGTAAATATTTTCAGGAAATATCTTCTTCTAACTGGTCAATAAACACACAAGCGGGTGTTGCAATCCACCCACGTACAAATATTTTTCCAGCGCGTGACCAAGTCAAGATTTCCCGCCATTTTCTGTGAGCCTGTCACGTGATTACATTAATTATAAATAGCAGACACAAGCTTTCTGCTTTCTCTTCTCTTCTTTTCTTTTCTCTTCCAAGATGTGACCTTAAAAATTCTCGTCTCGACCATCGGCGATCAGACTTTAAAAGTATATTCACGCATGCACGTACGTACTTACATTACAAACATACAGAACGTTTCCAAACAAGCAAGAAGAACTTTTCTCTTTGAAATATTCTTCTAAAGCTACAGTTTATTCAGCATTTCACAGCTTTGTAATTAATTCAAATTTGTGAGCTGAGATAAAAATAATCACAGTCTAAAGGACATAACACTAACAGAACTTTAACTTCTATGCATGTACATCAATACACAAAATAAATACAAATGTTATTGTTTTAAAGCCATTTTGTTCCTTCTTGTCTTTCATGTTTTGTGATATTTTACGTTAAATATAAATTGTGTGGTCATGTTATTCACGCAGCCATAAATAGACATCTACAAACGGCCCATTCTTATACACACAAACCACTACATATGGTGACCCTGAGTCCACTACAAGGTATTATAACTATTAAAATTTACACTATTTACATTGTTAGAACTGTTGTCCTCATCTTTTTGTCACACTCACGAAGTTTCGGCCACTGTACACGCCAGCCTTCTTCAGGTGATATTTGTTGGATTTTAGAACTGAACCCTTTATTTTAGGTACCACCACAGAAAACATAATACCTAAGATTTAAAGAATTTTTAAATATGAAAATTGTTTCTTGAAATTCTTATTTTAGTTTTAATTTAAACCTAATAGATTAAATAGAATATTTCCAATAAGCAAAGTACTTTGCCGTATTTCTATAATATAATTTCGCCGTTACCTACACTGGTGGTGTAACGACATTTAGTAGTCCAGTTCTCACAGTCTTAGAACAACGTTTTAACCAGGGGCAGGGGGGATGTTAACTCTGCGCTGGTCAATGCTGACACTGGTCCAAGCTGTCTGTTGGTCGCTGGCCGCTTCGATTCATACCAACTCTGCCCACGCTGTTTTTGATCTCAGAGCAGTGGGAAATCAAAGGTCATAGTCTCGCAGCGATGGTTCAAGTCGTAGTGGGTGTTATATTAAGAAAAAAATATCTTCGCGACAAAAAATAAAACGAGAGATTCCTGTGGTTAAACTTCAGGTGGTTCATATAGCTCTTGGTACAACAAAATTAACCCTTCTTGTATCAATCTCTATAGTGACAGTGGGCCTTATCTAAACTTCTGTAGGGCTGGGTTCAAAGTCTTGGAATCAAGAATCTGGTTGACAGCTGGGATGGATTTCAGGGGTACTCAATGCAGGATCTCAGCCCAAAGTCTCTGAGCTCCCCAAAGTCATCTGCTTATATGCACTTCGGCCTAAAACTGGCGTGGGACCGAAGAGTTCTGGGGATTCGGTGATTCCTCAATTTTCATTAATTCTAATAAAGGTTTTCTTTGTTCCTTATTTCTGTTTTCTCAATCAACTTTTTAAGTCTGATGAATTATCCACCTTCTTTGGGAGTAGTCACAGGGATTAACCGTTAAAAAAGTAATTAACGTGAGTGCCTTTTATATATAATTTTTAAGTACTCGGTAATCTTAAAAATTTAAGAAAATATTCTCCGTAATTTAATGTTTTATTGAATTTAAAATATTTTTGGCTGTAAATTTACTAAAGTTATCACTTATTTTCTGTAAATGTTGTGTATGGGCGTCCGTATATACAAAAAATTCGTACGTTTGTACACAAAAAAAATTCAAAATTATTTAAAAATATTGGTGTTCCATGATTTGTATTTAAGCTTTTCTACTTATGATTAGTAAATATAGTTTCCACTTAAAGGAGTCCTTAATATGTCTTATTTATAAAAGTAATTAAAAACTTTACTAATTAAATAATTACTTAGTCTTATTGCATTTTTTTATTTTACAATTCAAAGCAAAGTTCTGGTAAATGATGCTTCTGTTTGGCAAAAACAAATTGATGATTTAAATTCTCTAAGAAGTCCTGCTTTTAACTAATATAAAGAGGATGGAATTGTAATTTCTCGAAATTTCATAAAATTAATTAAGTGGGGAAAATACATGTAAAAATATTTTTACCAAGATTCTCTAAAAGAAATTTCCAAAATGATTTCATTCACTTGTGAACATATCCTGAAAATTTCATTAAAATCTGACAATTATTCGAGTCTTGCAAGAATTTCCGAAACAATGTTTATTTTACTGCAAAAAGACGCTAAATTTCCCATGCTAACGACTTAAAGACGCGCTAAATTTCCCACATAGACGATATTATAGACAAGCGTATGGTTGCAA